GGTCTGCCCCCAGCCCATGCCAAATGTATGCCAGTGGGAAACTTCCCATGGCCTGTTCTGGGCTGTTTCCTATCATGCTTTTTGCATTCACCTGCCAGGTCTGTGTCCTGCCAGAGGAGTTGCCCAGGCTCCTCCATCAGAACCTCTCCCAGTGCCAGATTTCGGGCATACCAGTGGGTCCGTGAGCCAGCCCTACTCAGTTCACTTCCTGTCCTAGCAGGAACAGTGGCCTCTCCTGACTGGCCTTCAACCCAATCTGGTTCTTGCTGTTGGATGTTTCAACCCAGCCATGGCTCGTCCATACCTCCATACAGCTCACATGTGGCTCACTGGGGGCTGAGACCTAGCCTAGTCTGTCCCACATCTACCCTGGTCTTCCAGAGCATGAGATGGTGTTGGAGTCTGGCCCGGCCTTGTGCGTCTCTTCCCAGTCCACACTTGTGCCAAGGGAGACTACAACCGTATCCTGATCAGAACGCAGCCCCATTCCAGCCACGTGCCCCTTGGTGGGAACCTCAACCCAGCTGGGGCATCTCCTTAGCTCCCCAACCGGGCCTGTTCCAAGCCATAAATTGCACGCATGCCAGTGTTTGCTCTGACTTAGCTTGGCACAGCCCCTCACCCATCCCGACCCCTGCCTTAGACACTGTGGCTTAGCGTCCTTGGCTCTTGCAGACCAGCAAGTGCAAGAGCCTAGTTTGGCATGACCTGTGCTCCATCCTGGTTTCTAATTTTGCTTGTCAGGCCCCCAGTCTTAATCAATAGTACTGACAGGGCAGAAACTTCATTCAGTTTACAATGTATTGGATCAGATTAACTTCTGGGGTGGAATCCCAATGATCTAATCCATGCTGTCTTCCTACAGACACAAACACTCCCTGTTTGTAGCCATGTAGACTCTGCCAGCAGGATGCTCATCTCTGGATTAGCAGTCTTGACCTCACATCTTTAGAACTGGAAGCTAGCATAATCTTTTTTAAAGATTTATTTATTTTTTTATTGGAAAGTCAGATTTACAGAGAGAAGCATAGACAGAGAGGAAGATCTTCCATCTGCTGGTTCACTCCCCAAGTGGCTGCAATGGCCAGCTGGGCTGATCCAAAGCCAGGAGCCCAGAGCCTGTTCTGGGTCTCCCATGCGGGTGCAGGGTCCCAAGGCTTTGGGCCGTCCTCCACTGCTCTCCCAGGGCACAAGCAGGGAGCTGGTTGGCAAGCGGGGCTGCTGGGATTAGAACCGGGGCCATATGGGATCCTGGTGTGTGTAAGGCGTGTATTTTAGCTGCTACGCTCTCATGCTGGGCCCATAAATCTGTTTTCTTGATAAAGTTGGTCTGTTCAGGTATTTGGCAATTATAGTCCTGAAAAGCTAATACATGCCAGTAGTATCCAACATATGCTATGTGCATATCTTGCTTTGTAAATGCCATTTCCTAGGAAGACAAGCTAGGTTTTCTGGAGAAATAGCTGATTCTTAGGCTGCAATAGGGAAAAACATGAGCTCCATGTAGGGTATCTTGTAGTGCCAACAAGTAAGGCTTTGATGGAGAAACAGAAAGATGCAGCAGGTGTTTGGCATGGCAGTCAAGACACCATTTGGGGCACCAGATTGCCACGTCAGTCTCTTGTTTCACTCAGCTTCTCGGGTTCTGATGCAGCTTCCTGCTAATGCACTTCCTGGGAGGCAGCCCGTGATGGCTCAAGGACTTAAGTCTCTGGCACCCATCAAGGAGGCTCAGACTGAGTTCCTGCCTTCTGATTTTGCCTGGTCCAGGTCTTGCTATTGGGAGCATTTGAGGAAAGAACCAGCACGTGGAAGATCTGTCTTTAGGAAAAAACAAGACAAACAGTAGGATAGGCAGGGCATGTCAAAGCAACACAAGAGCCAAACTGAAAGAACATACATTAGAACCACGTGACCATCTATAAAGATACTAGAAGAGGGTCCAGCAAGACAGTCTAGTGACTAAATCCTTGCCTTGTACGCACTGGGATCCCATATGGACACAGGTTTAAGTCTCAGCCGAGATCCCATATGGGTGCCAGTTTGAGTCCCGGCAGCTCCACTTCCCACCCAGCTCCCTGCTTGTGGCCTGGGAAAGCAGTGGATGACGGCCCAAAGCCTTGGGAGTCTGCACCCACGTGGGAGACCTGGAAGAGGCTCCTGACTCCTGGCTTCGAGGATCGGCACAGCTCTGGCTGTTGCAGTCACTTGGGGAGTGAACTAGTGGATGGAAAATCTTTCTGTCTCTCATTCTCTGTATATCTGACTTTATAATAATAATAATAATGCAAAGAAAAGAGCAAATGAAAAGGCATGCTCTTTTTTTGTGAAGTGGCAACTCACAAGTAGAGAAAATAAGCCCAGAAAAATCATTTTGCAATTACCAACACAGTAAGTTACCAGGTTAATAGCTGGTTTAGGCAAGGATCTTCGTTATAAAAGCTGACAGGGAGCAGAGCATTCATGGACTCAAAGCATTATCTACCTTACTTGTGAACCAGGAAGGGAAAAATGCAGTTTTCTAAGAGAAGCTTGTCTGGTGGCCATCACCTTGCCTCCCCAGCAGTGGGCCAATCTGGCAACAGTACCTCTTTTTTTAAGATTTATTTATTTTTTTTAAGATTTATTTTTTATTTTTATCATGAAGTCAGATATACAGAGAGGAGAGAGGGGAAGCTCTTCTACCTGGTGATTCACTCCCCGCGTGAGCGCAACGGCTGCAGCTGAGCCGGTCCGAAGCCAGGAGCCTCTTCCGGATCTCCCACGTGAGTGCAGGGTCCCAAGGCTTTGGGCCGTCCTCCACTGCTTTCCCAGGCCACAGGCAGGGAGCTGGATGGGAAGTGCGGCTGCCGGGATTAGATCTGACACCCATATGGGATCCTGGCACATTCAAGGCGAGGACTTTAGCTGCTAGGCCATTGTGCTGGGCCCCAGCAGTACCTCTTGATGCTGTTGGGAAGGGGTGTGCACTGGGAGGACTCAGCATAAAGTGCTCAGGGAGGAGGGAGTAAGGGACACAGGCTGGCTTGCGTCCTGCTCGCCAATGTCCCAGCTGCCCCTGTCCCGGGCAGCCTACTGCACTGAGGCTGCCCTGAGCGTGCAAGCTGCCAACAAGCTATGGGTTTCACTATTCCATGGGCCCTGCCTATTGCTGCCATATTAAAGGCCGCAAATCCGGGCCCTCCCTGGAGATCATGTTGTGTTGCCAGGGGGCAGCTAGGGAGTGTCAGGACCTGGCAAAGGGTGCCATCTCTAGGGGTAGATGTGGCACCAGCCTTTCACAGAGTTTCTGGACATTTGGGGCTGCAGCTGTACACAGCTACTCCAGGTACTTGCTTCTGGCTGCCCCTTCTGCCCTTGCTTCCCATCCCAGCATTCTGCCAGCCCTCCCTGGCCTCCTGAACTCGAGGAATAGCATTTGTGCTTGCCTCTTAACAACTCCCACCCCTGAGCACAGCACAAGCTTCTTGGGACAAGAAGGTCCTGGGCCCTAGCACAGTTCCGCAGCTTCCCTTGCCCCTTAGCCAGCGAGCTTCTGCTTGACTGCGTGCAAGCTGCCTGTTTGTGTGCGATCTAGGGACGCTGTTTAGCCTCCAGCTCACCTACCGCTGTTGAACAGCCGCGATAGTCACCTTGTCAGTTCTTCACACTACACTCTTGTGGGAAGACCTGCTCCAACCTCACAGGTTCTGTAACTTCCCATCTGGCACAGCAGCTTACTACAAGGACTCAGGAGTTCCACTAGGCCTGGATTGCAGTTCTGATGCTTGCACTTCCCAGCAGATGAGATGGTAACGACATAGGAAGGACTTGGAACTATGCGGCAGTATCCACCCAATAGCACCTGCTCTTCCTGTTTGCTCCTCTGGATCACTTCTCACACAAGGGAGGCCTCAGCAACCGCCTTGAAGAATCCCCTCTGCCTACGTAGTCTTCTGTCTGAGCTCCTCCCACCTAGCCTTCCAAGGTGACAAAACTACACCTGGTCCCACGCAGGCTTCCGCTCTTTCCGCAGCTCCCAGTGGCCCCCAATCTTGTCCTCTCCCTCCACAGGCAGCCATGGCCAATCTTCTCTTTTCAGGACAGGCAGTTTCCTGAGCACCTAACAGGTAATCTGTCGCCCTCCGAGCTGGAAGGCGCCTGTCCAGCAGTCTCTCTCGGCCTGTTCAGTGGGGCTGAGTTCCTGTGGGAAGTGTACATGTCTGAGAACACACAGCACAGTGCCTGGTGCGTTATAAGCCTCCAAATGCATCTGCAATCTGAGCTCTCTCCCCGTAGCCCTTCCTCATTCACCACTTGCTAGCTTCTCATTGTCCCTCTGACGTAGTGTGTTCCCAGTAGCAGCCTACATTTAAGACAGCCCTTCTGTTCTCCCGCAGGACCCTTCATCTCTGCATCCCAGGAGCAGCCCCAATGACGTGCTGGCCCCTCCACCCAAGGACTGGACGCAGCATGCACTTGTGACCAATGAGAAGACAGCGTTTATTTCTTGGGGACATCTGAGACAAAAGCGGCAGTCTAGAGAAGGCGCGGGGCTGGCTGCCCACCAGGATTCCCAGGGAAGATGAGGCGGACAGTGCAGTACACACAGCGTGGCGAGAAGCAAACGAGCCATGGTGAACTGCTCGCCCACTGCCAACACTCTTGGGCTCTGCCATCTCGGAGGCCAGACCAACTGCCTGTGCTGTCAGGCCAATGGCTAGAAACCCAAAGCAGCGTAGTTAACACAGTTCTTTTTGGCTGACAGGTGCACAGTCACCTTCAGAGTGAGTATCCTAACTCGGAATAAATGAGAGCAGTGTTCCCGCCCCAGACAGCACAGCACAACTCTTCTCAAAGGTCCCCTGAGAGCCCCGGGCTGCACTGCTCTCCACAGCCTCTACCCTCAGGCCGCTGCGGCGCAGGCAGCAGGGCTCCAGGCAGGGAAGGCGCAGGAGAGGAGACCCCGCCCGCCTGCACAGTGCTCACGTCCCTGCAGGACATCAGGGAAGCCCGCGGGGAGGAAGCAGTGCCACCGTCAGTGCCCTGGCCCTCCCCAGTGAAAGCCTTAATGCAGCTGTGGCACAGGAAGCAGCCATCCGTCCTCCATGCTGCGGCATGCCTCCACGACACCGCCCTGCTTAGTCACTTGTCGCATCTCATTGGGGGAGAAGGTGCTGAGCAGATGCTGAGCAGCCAGGGCTGGGACAAGCCGTCTCTGGCCGTTGTGTCATTTTTGGCTTCAGTCTGTTTACTGAACCCAGGAAGAAAAGCACTGGGGCAGGGGACAGGGGACAGGACACCCCTGCCCCAGGCTGGGGTAAGGATGGAAGAGCTGGACTCGGTGTGGAGGCATGGCCCTCACGGTACAGTCGGTGGCTGTGGAACCCCAAATGGTAGAGGGGTTTTCCCCAAGTGACACCATGGAGCTGGGGGAATCGAGCAGCACCTCTGTCAAGTGCAGCTGGGGGTTCTGCCAGACCCGCCGGGGGTCAGGTCACAGCACTGGGCAGCAGAGGCCCTCCTGGGAAGGACTCCTTCCCAAATGTGACACACCATGGCCCGTCCTGGCAGGAGCCCCTGTCTCGCTCTTATGATGAGGCACTTCTAGAAGCTGGCTGCACTCAGATTTGGCTTCTCCTGCCTTACTGTGCTGCCCCACCTCTTCCACAGGCTGTGGGAGTGACCCCAGGCCGAGCGCTTCGAGCTAGCAAGAACCAGGTAGCTGCCAGCTACTGTTATTCTTATGAGCCAAACTGCCACGTGAGAACACATTTAATGCAACATGCAGCTGCGGCCTGGCCTCTGGCTCCTCCCCCACGCTGCACAAGTGCTATTTGGGCAACCCCTTCTCCAGAGCCTCAGACCCTTCAGGGTGCAGGAAGCGGCTTGCCAAGCGCTCGATGTCGTCCAGGGTCAAGCGGCTCAGGGATCTCTCATAGTCCTGAGGAGAGAAGGCCAGGGGCACTCAGGGGGCTGCGGGGGAGGGACACTGCCGGGAGCGGAGTGCAGGTCCAGGGCGGCCTTGCTCACCCTCTGAAGTTGCTCCAGGACCCTGCTGGCATCTGCTGCACTGAAGTGGCGTGCCAGGACTTTGGAGATCAGCTGCCAGACGGGTGGGGGTGGCGAATCGGCCGCTCTCCGCGCGGTGCCTTCCGCTAGTACCACCTTCTCCAGGGGCTTGACCACTAGGTTCAGCTTGGAGTTGGGCCCGATGCTGTAATCTGACAGTCGTTTCCCATCTGCCAAAGAGAGCCTGGTGCAGTTTCCCACCCACAGCCGTTGGGGTGCCTCTGAGAAGCTATGCCACCTCAGCAACCCGAGTGGAACGCGGCGCACTCAGATGGGACTTGGTAGGGGAGCACTCGTGGGGCGCTGATCCACAGCACCGCAGCCCGTCCCCCAACTTCCTGCGGGGCTCCCTGGGCGTCTCCTCACCCTGGCTTACCTGCAAGGGCCTTGCCCTTGAACAGCAGTCGTTGCTGGTGCACGGGGACGTTCAGCCTCTCGGAGACTAGCTGCTTCAGTGTGGATACCTGCTCGTCCTCAGGCACCTGCCAGGCCGAGGGTCAGGAGGCAAGGGTTGAGTCCACGAGCCAAGGCGTCTCCTCGGAGGGTAGCTCTCCCGGCCTCCCCGGCCTGGCCGGCCCGCCCGTCCCGTTCCCGCCCTCGGTCCCGCGCCAGGAGCGGGGGAGCGCGCGAGCGCGGCACAGTGGTTCGGGCCTGGCGGTGACCTACCTGCAGGCTGCACTCGCGGCCCTGGAGCGCCTTCACCGTCAGCTGCATGGCGGCCACGGCGCCGTCCACTACGGCCCGCGCGCGCCCCAACAGCCCCCCGCCGCGCGCCGCCGCCTCGGGCGCGCGCCGGAACCGCCCGCCACCGCCGGAAGCGGCGAGGGGCGCGCCCGCCGCCTGCCAGGCCCGGCCCCGCCTCCCGCGCGCCTCGCCCCGCCTCCGGCGCGCTCGGGCGCCGGCCCCAGGAGGAGGAGTCGCCGTGGGGTCCCGCCCAGCGGACGCGAGGAAGCGTCTCCCTCCGCGCGCAACCCTTCCCCGCTGGCCGCCGCGAGCGGCGGGCGGTGGTGGATGGAAAGGCACCCGTGCCGATCCTGCTCCGGCTTTGGGAGGAGCTACGGCTTGGGGCCCGTTTGCTCTACCTGGGAACAGGGACTTGAGGAAAAGAATGGGCCAGGAGGGCGGCGCGTCCCGCGGACGGCCTGGTGTGCCCTCAGTTCCCAAGCTGCTGGTGGCCCGGGCCAATGCGAGCCCCGATTCTCTGCTTCCCAGCGAGGTCCAGTCCTGCCTCGTGTATTTCTGTCTCCTTGCTTTTAGTGTAGCTGCGAAAACCCCATTGGCACTTCATCAGAGCAGGCAGGAAGGTCGGCCACGCCTCACCGCCCCCACCCCAGTCCTTGTAGAATGGAGATGCCCACTCCTGAGAGGGAGGGGACGCGGGGTGTGGTGCCGGAAGTCCTGCAGAGACCACCTAAGTTGGCCTTTCTACCCTGAGCTACACCTACCTAGGCCCCAAAGGAGAGACTGGAAGGGGTCCGGGTGCGTTTCTTTCTTTTATTGAAATCTATTTTGTGGGCAGTGCCCATTTGCCTAACTCAGCATGGCCTCTGGCGCTTTGAAAGCTGGAGAATAAAAAAAATCAGTACAAAAAATAAGCCTGTATTTTTTGTTTTCCAGCTGCATAGTGCGTGAGAACTAAAGGCCTTTGGTACGCAAGAACTGTGGGCATGGTGGAGTCTCGGCGCTGAGGGTGAACAGAGCTGTGACCCAACAGCCTCAGGAGACAGCGAACAGGCTGCTGTAGATGGAGCGGCCGATGAGCAGGGCTAACATCTCGGAGGTGCCGCTGAGCGCCACAATGAAGGGCGCCTGGGAGGCGTAGTCAGCCTGAAGGTGGCGCAGGGACAGCTGCAACATGGCTAAGGCCAACAGGCTGTTTTGCACCCCTACCTCGATGCCGACGGTCCGCCGCTGGGCCACTGGCAGCTTCAGACACGTGGCTAGACCATAGCCCACCAGGAGGCCAACAAGGGGCACTGTGAGGCCCACCAGCACGATAGGCAGCCTGACCCCGGCCAGAATGAAGACGCCCATGTGGTAGGCGAGGAAGAGGCCGGCCAGAAGCAGCACGACACTGAAGGGCCTAATGGCCTGCAGCAGCAGCTGCGAGAAGCGAGGCAGCCTGGACTTGATGAGCACACCTGCTGCTGTGGGGGTGGCGATGAACATCAGCGTGCCCAGGATCTTGGAGATGGGCACATGGAGTGTTTCATGGATGCTGAGCAGGTGGCTGTAGATGGCTGAGGACAGGGGCAGGAAGGCAGTGGCGGCCACCGTCGAGGTGAAAGTCATGGAGATGGCCAGAGTGACATCCCCTCCAAGGAGGAGGCTGAAGAGGTAGCTCCCTCCGCCGCCGGGCGATGAGCACGTGATGATGAGGCCCAGCGCCAGGGCCTTAGGCAGCATGCAGACTTTGGCCATCAGGAAGGCGTACAAGGGCATGACCAGAAACTGGCCCAGGAGGCCCAGCAGCACGGGCTGGGGGCTATGTATGAGTCCCTTGAGAACCTCGAGTTCCACTTTACAGCCGAATGAGCACTTGTTCACAAAGATCAGAGGCAGGAGCAGATAGAGTATCGGGCTCTCAGAGAAGTGGGCTTGGGCCGCGCCCACGGCAGTGAGGCCGTCCGCAGCAGGCGACACCTTGATGCAGAAGTCTCGGCGCTCCTCAATGAGTGTTGGGGGAGCGTCATGCGGGTCCACGAGCTGGATGTGGAGCGGGGCCAGTCCAGCCAGCCCGGAACGGATGCTCACCACGAAACTACCAGCGCCGCCCCAGCTCACGGCACTCACATTCTTGATTGTCAGCACCTCTGTGTCCAGTGATGTGACCCGCAGGGAGGGGCCCAGGCGTGTCCCATTCGTCTGGCATGGGTAGTGGCTTGAGATCACAATGATGCCCTCGCTGTCCTCAGGGAATTCGAACTCCATCGCAGAGCCGTCCCCAATGCTCAGGTAGTGGCCCCCTGTCAGTGGCAAAGTGTGGCCCCGAACACTGTTGCCGCTCATGCCCTGTGGCAGGCTGACGAACAGCAGGGCAGTTCTAAACAGGCTCAGGGGGGCTGTGCCAGCACCCCGCCTGCCTTTGCTTTGCCTTAACATCATGGCTCTTCCCACAGGACAGCATGCCCTGGCTCCGGCGGCTCAGGGCGGCACTCTGGCTCCATGGGCTGCTCGTGCTCCTGAGGACAGAGGGGACACAGAAAGAGCCAAGAGCCCTGAGCACAGCAAGCCCACATGACAGAAGACTTGGCAGGGCCCTGGCCCTGAGTTGGTAGATGGGTAGGCAATAACTAGTGCCAACACACAGCCCCTGTAGAGGGGTCACTTACACATAGGTGTTCCCATGCAGCTGCAGCTGCCTGCTGACTCCCCTGAGTTTGCCCATCGCGATGACTTTGCAGTGATGTCCTAATAGCAGGGACTCAGAGACCCCATCCTGACTGGCTCCGTTGCGGCTCTAGCAGGGCTGTCGCTGCCCCACAGTGAGCCAATAAACAAGACTGCCGGGTGAGAACAAAAGGTGCTGATGGGGCTGGGGATGTGCGCCAGGGCCAGGAGACCAGACTTGGGTGCTTGAGTGTCATTTGGCAAAACATTGTGAACCCCAAGGATGGGTTTGTGCCATGTGTACACAGCAGGGAAGAGTGCTGGCCCAGCCCACCTTCCCTACAGTGTTGACATGGACGTCCCAATGGGAAGCAATCTTCCATCTTCAGGGAAGTTGCTAGAAGGAGTGGCATGAGTGAGTCAGGTACAGCCACATGGCTGCTGGGGTAGGAGGCTCTAGTGCTCCTAGGCCTGTGTGTTATACCTGAGAATCTGGGGCGGGTCCACAGCGTCCTCCCACCATCACATGTGCCCCACCCAGGACAGCCTTCCACTCCCAGTGGCACTCCCAGTATTTTTAGGGTGTAGGTGCCTTGCTGTTGACCTTGGCCCTTCCTCATCTGAGCTGGGCGAGACTGCAGAGCTGAGGGGGTAGTGGGCAGGCTAAGCAGGAGTCCTCTGCCTGGCAAGTGTACTTTGTCCCTACCCTAGGAGGGTATAGCCTCTGCTGGCTTGGAGTTTGGGTCACTTACCCTGGAGGCCTGGTTCAGCCTTGTGTCTCACTGCTGAAGGGAGGCGGGAAGACCAGAGTGGGGGCAGAGTCAGAGTGGAGGGAGAGCACGCAGGCACCAGGACTGCAGCCAGCAGGCTGGTGTGAAGCAGTTCAGGAGTGGCCAAGGGCCATCCAACCCATAAGCAACCCTTCCAAAAGGGTTGGTGGCTTTCAATCACAGCAGTGGTTTGGCCCAGGCCCTTGGCTGTGACTGCTCCAGGAGTTTGAGCAGATGCATTCCAAGGCAGAAGAGTGAATTCGGCCTGATGCTTTCTGCGTACAAGCCGCTGGAGGTCCGGGGTTAACTGGTGGAGTCCGCCAGATGTCGGGTGGAGCTGAGTGCAGTTGGGAAGGGAGGGAGCGTCGCCGTCCTGCAGCTGGCAGGTTGGCGACCTGGCAGGGTGGTCTTGGGGTCGGGAGTCCCGCAGCAGTGCCAGGCCTCTCAGCGCGCTGCGGCGGTCCCGTGCATCGGCGCGAGAGTGGGTGATCGCGGCGCGGGGCCAGTGACGGAGGCTGCCTCCAGCCGATCCCTTGCCGGACACAGGCTCTCACCTGCCGCCGGCCACCAGGGGTGGGACCAGAGGCTGCCAAGGCCGGCAGACAAACGCTAGCTCGGTCCGCCGGGGTGACGCCCCACTCGCCGAAACCCCGCCCCTCGCGCCAAGACTCCTCCTTCTCTCTGCGCACCGGCCGCGGCCGTGCGGGGTCGGACCGGAAATGACGTTGTGGGAGCGAGCGGTGCCGCGGGCGGTAGGGAGGTGCTTCTCGGGTCGCGGCTGGAGTGGCGTGGTTTGGTGCAGCTTGTGGACCGCGGGGCTCATTCCATTTCTCCTAGATACTCCCGAGTACGTTGTGACTTGCACGGACAGTGACACACACGATTAGCCACCAAGGCTGACACGCCGAGGGCTTTTGCCACGGACCGGAGCCCTAGGTTAGGCTTGCGGACCCGTTGTTGCCATCGGCACGGTCTGCAGCCCTTGCAGAAACAAAACGTAAATGGGCGGCAAAAGGATGGGAAACAAAGCTGAGGCTGAAGAAAGGATGACAAAAGACAGTAAAAGCAAATGGATTTGGTTCAGCAAGGTTGTGGAAAAATTCGTGGCACTGACGCACGCTGTTCCTCCAGGAGATGCGCCAGACCCTTGGTTGCGGATGATGGAAACCTTTCATAGTGCCAATTGATTTTTTTTTAAAGATTTATTTATTTTTATTGGAAAGTCAGAGAGGAGCAGAGACAGAGAGAAAGATCTTCCGTCCCCAAGTAACCACAACGGCCAGAGCTGAGCCGATCAGGAGCCAGGAGCCTCTTCTGGGTCTCCCACGCAGGTGCAGGATCCCAAGGCTTTGGGCTGTCCTCCACTGCTTTCCCAGGCCACAAGCAGGGAGCTGGATGGGAAGTGGAGCTGCCGGGATTAGAACTGGTGCCCATATGGGATCCCAGGCGTGTTCAAGGTGAGGACTTTAGCCACTAGGCCACACCGCTGGACCCAAAGATGTTAATTTTGCTGTAAAAAGTTTTTGTAATTCATTCATAGTTTTCTCATAATATGCATTTCTATGAAATCTTGAAGATCCCTTGAATGCCTCAGTTTCAAATTTTACACCAAAACATTGTTTTTTAAATACATATATGTATTTAGACATTTATTTATTTTTATTGCAAAGTAGATAGGAGGAGAGACAGAGAGGAAGATCTTCTGTCTGATGGTTCACTCCCCAAGTGACCGCAACGGCCAGAGCTGAGCCAATCCGAAGCCAGGAGCAAGGAACTTCCTCCAGGTCTCCCACGCAGGTGCAGGGTCCCAAGGCTTTGGGCCGTCCTCCACTGCTTTCCCAGGCCACAGGCAGGGAGCTGGATGGGAAGTGGAGCTGCCGGGATTAGAACCATTGCTCATATGGGATCCAGGCACATGCAAGGCAAGGGACTTTAGCCACTAGGCCACCGGGCCGGGATCTTTTAAAATATATTTACTCTTTTAGAATTGTTTTCATTTTGCTTCCACAGAGAGTGAGAAGTATCTTTCATCTTTGGTTCATGCCCCAAATGACAACAGCAGCAGGACTGGTCCCGGCAGGAACCCGGAACTCCACTGTGGCTCAGGCAAGAGCCATCACCTGCTACCTTCCAGGGCGCACATTATCAGGAAGAGGGGATGATGTACAGCCTTGAGGGGAATTAGGCGCTCTGCTAAGGAATGCAAGTGTACAAGAGGTATGTTAACTGCCATGCCAAAACCCACCACTAAGAACTTTGTATTTCACTTGCCATGATGTATTTGAAGTAGTCTCATGTTATTTCCACTCTATAAGTAAGACAGCTAATGAAGCAAAGAGCAGAGCTAAGCAATGCAGACATGTCACTGGGGCTACAGTTATCTATGGGATTTGCAGTGGAAACAACTGGTCCGACTCCCCCTCTATCTGCTTACACCACTTTAGGTTTGGATCCTGGACCTTGTGACTAAAAACAACTGTAAAAGGGTAGGCGTTGCCAAGGGAGAGTGGGGTTGATTTGGGGACAAAAACCCAGAGAGGGCCTCGTGTGATTGCTCAGTGGCTAAAGTCTTGGCTTGTGCACAGCAGGATCCCATATGGGCACCGGTTCTAATCCTGACAGCTCCACTTCCCATCCAGCTCCCTGCTTGTGGCCTGGGAAAGCAGTGGAGGACGGCTGAAAGCCTTGGGACCCTGCACCCGTGTGGGAGACCCAGGAGAAGCTCCTGGCTCCTGGCTTCGGATTGGCTCAGTTCCAGCCATTGTGGCCATCTGGCAAGTGAACTAGCAGATAGAAGAGCTCCTTTCTATACTTCTGCCTTTCTAATAAAAATAAAATCTTTTATTCATTGGAAATGCAAATTTGCAAAGAGGAGGAGAGACAGAGAGTAAGCACTTCCGTCCGTTGGTTCACTCCCCAAACGACCGCAATGGCCAGAGCTGAGCCAATCCAAAGCCAGGAGCCAGGAGCTTCTTCTGGGTCTCCCACGTGGATCCAGGGTCCCAAAGATTTGGGCCGTCCTCCACTGCTTTCCCAGGCAGGGAATTGGGTGGGAAGTGTGACCGCTGGGATTAGAACTGGTGCCCATATGGGTTCTGGTGCGTTCAAGGCCAGGACTTTAGCCACTATGCTATCATGCCAGGCTCAAGTATCAGGAAATCTTTAATTCATATGTGCACCAAGAGTGCCCCCAAAGGTCAATAGAGGGCTCTAGGAGACCACGCTGCCAGAGGGCCTATGGGAAAGCGTGTTCCTTTGTGCTTAGCACATGAAGTCTTGCCATGTTGGCTACTGGGATCACTGTCTCCAGGACAACTGAGCGGGGGCCTCCTTACTTCTCTTGCTTGGCCTCTGGGTGGCATCAGAACTACTTCACCCCGTTTTTCTGGATGCCCACTGCAGCATGTCTCTCCATGCCACCTCCTACCATGCCACCTTCAGGAATCCTGAGAGGCCCTCGAGTCATCACTGTGCACTAGTACCTTCATCTAGTTAGTCCAGACCAACTTCCATGAGCCCAGACCACTTGTGTGCGGAACCGGTTCTCGCTTAACAGCACAGGACTGCAACTATGAGGAACCCTCCAACACACCAAAGGGAGTCACCCCTCACTTCTCTTGGGAGACCTGCTGGCCTCGAAGAAAAGCCCCTGCATTCCTCTCCCTGTCCCTGCAGGCCCTGTGTGCAGAGGGTCAGCTTGCTGCAGCCCTGGTGCACACAACCATCTCTCCTGGACCAGGCTAGGTGATGGCAGCTCCACAGCCACTGTAGAGCACAGTGGAGACTAGGGCTCTGTGGGGAAGCGGGTGGAGACTCCAAATCTCAGCGCTCGCCCCTCCTTCATACAGCAGCACCCACGGCTCTCCAATGATGACAGCAGCTGGATCCCGCTGAGAGCCAAGACTTTATTAAGAGGTCATGTAGAAGGCAGGCCCTCTGGTAAGGCACTGTGATCAGGCCCAGGGTGAGCGTGAGGCAGTCTGCACTGGGGTTATGACTCATCAGAACTTGGTACTTCCAGTACTAGAAGACACTAACCTGCCAGGTAGCTAGGAAACAGGCAGGATGTGGCCTGAAGAACAGGGTGCACTAGGGCCTGCTCTGGGGGGATGGTTTCAGAAAGAGGAAATAGGCCCTGAGCCCCCCCCCCCGACAAGGTGCAAAGGGCCCAGCCCCTAGAGCAGCACCATCTGTCTCCAAGATTTGTTCACACCTTGGAGTTGAGGTGCTAGGGCCAGGGAATGCTCCTGCCTCACCTTGAGGCGTGGGCATGGGCCTCAGCCCTGTGCTGGCATCACTGCCAGTGTCCTTGCTTCTGGGGCGCGGTGCTCTGCATGCTAGCTGGCCACGCCTCGCCGTGGGATGCAGCCTTCCATCTCCAGTGCCTCGGGCCAGCCCTCGTACTTGTTGGTGTGCTTGCTGTTCTTCACATGCTGTGGGCAGGATGGCAGGAAGTCATGGCCTAGCCCTTGGACAGGGACGGAAACAGACTAGGGCCCAGCTGGCCATTCCCTTGTATTGTGTGCTGTGCATGGAGCAGGAAGATGGCTGGGGAGTGGCTATGGGACTGAGCTGTTCTTTGGCTAGAACCTTCCCCAAACCATCAGGTGTTGGTATGCTATGGAGAGCCAGAACTGCCTCTTGCCCAGCTCCTGGCACACAGCACAGAGTGAGTAGCAAGTGGGGAGCAGACACTCCGGGGGGGGGGGGGCGGTGGCCAGGGCTTCTCCATTTAGAGTCCTATGGGAGCAAGACTTGGAGGAAGCCCATGAGGCCTGGTGCTCTGGCCAAACTGCCAGACTTCACACCATACCTGTTCAAAGGGGCTCTTGTTCTGCACACCCTTGGCCCCCACAAACACCCAGCTGTCCCGGAAGGCCAGTTCCTTAGCATTCCTGCTGCCCAGCTCGCTGAAAAGCTTCCTGGTCTCCTCATTCATCCTGCCATGTGGAAGGAGGAGACATGAGTTGTCACTGCACAGAGCCAAGGCCTAAGCGGGCCTAGGCAGTTACTCACTTGGTGGCTGGGTCGTCGTAGGATGCCACAAACACCAGGGTGCCTTCATGCAGTGGCCTAATGAACTTGAGCAGGTCATTGACATCTGTGGGAGGTAATGGACGGGCACAGGCCCTGGGGAGCATCTCTCCCTCACCGAGCCCTGATTACCAAGTGGGAAAAGCAAGCAGGGCTTGGAGCAGGTGTGTGCAGGGACATACTGGAGTAGGAAGTTGGGGCCATCCCTGGAACCGGAAATGGCTCCTGCACACAGCTCCCCATAGGCGGTGCTGAGAAGCCTAAGAGTGAGGACTACTCACCTCCAGCCCACATGTCAAACGCCCGGGCCTCGATGAGCTCCCCGTTGACCCCTGTGTCAACAGAGACGGACTCAGGATAGGGCAGGAGGTGGTCAAATGGGTACAGCCCTTCGGAGAGTTTGTCACATGTCCTTCCAACCCCATCACCATCTCCATTTCCGGACAGGTGCAGCCCATTCAAAACTATGGGGCCTCTGCTGGCATTTGAGGCCCCTGAAGAAATGTTCTAGCTCTTTAGTGCTAGTGTGCTTTTGTTCATTAACCCCTTTCCTAGGCCATCCTGGGAATTCCTGGAGGGGAGGGCCAGGGCTAACTCCCTGAAGTACCCCAGGCAGGGGGCAGGGGAGGAGGGCAGTAGGTCCCAGCACGGCTCCCACCTGTTCACGCTGACCCCTGAGCACACCACACAGAGAACTCACCATTCACCAGGGCGATGTTGAGCCCACGGCCCACGTTGTCCTTGACACTGCTCATGAGCCTAGCAGGAGAAGGGAGCTGTGCTTTGCTTTCCCACACGCGACCTTCAGCCCGTCCCCAAGCCCATTCACCAAAGGAAGCTCACATCTTGTCCTCGAGGCAGATCTTGGGCCCAATGACGTTGGCGGCTCCACTGACCATGCGGAAGGCCAGGTGTTCCTCAGGACATGGTTGGGGCAAGCCACACTTGTACTTCCTGGCCCGTGGCTCTGGGCAGAAACAGTAGGTGTGACCCACGGGCCTGGCCCGGGGGTCACCTGAGATCTGAGAGGGGGATGACCCACAGGATTGAACAAGCGAGCACGGGACAGGGAACCAGCAGGAAAGGGGTGGTAGCCCAGGCCAACGTCAGAAGCACTTGTACAGATAGTCTGTGCCTCACGGCAGCTGCCACAGGGATGGCAGGGAAAAGGCGCTTCGCTACTCCTGCGAGCAAAGGAACCAGGGGAAGGGCTGGCCTGGGTTACTGCACAGCCAGGACCAAGGCAATTGTGGAGAGAAGCATGCCTGCGGAGGCTGCGCACTCATGGCATGGCAATGGCAGGGTGAGGCAAGAGGACATGCCAGGTAAGCTAAGGCATACTCCCAGGCCCTCGGACTATGACCTGGCTTCCAAACAGGCTGCTGCAGAGAAATTAGTTCCGGTGATATCACAAGTGGGGTCACCTGAGCCCTCACTGCAACAGGCTTAATGTCTTACAAGGCATGCAGGGGGCCACCTCATTGTGGAGGCCGACTCAGACGACACAAGCATGAGCCCAGGCATGTGGAAGGTGACAAGAAGCCTTGATTTCAGGCTTCTAGAACTATTAGCTTCTGTTGTGCAGTCAAGAGAAATTGATAGATTTTGGAACCACAAAGTAGGGGTGATTCAGTAACAAATGGCTACAATATGGAAATGACTTTGCAATGGGGGCAGTAGGTGGGTAGAGGCCATAGACTTTGAAGATGTTAGAAAAGACCTAACTTGCTTGCAACAGAGTGTTGGTAGATACACGGATGGTCAAGCGGATTCTGCTTAGGGTTCATAAAGGAGAAAGAGAGCTTTTATTCGAGAAGATCTATCTATCCATCCAAGTGCAAGTAGAATGTTACCAGAAACAGCAACATTAAAGGCCCTGCTGGTTTCCGGAAGGAGCAAAGGCAACTTTTGGTATGATGTAGGGAAGAGCTTGCAGACAGGACCTAAGTGCTACTGTGTATATTTACCTGAGGAGAGTTCTATGACAAGTTCTGAAGCTGTGGCCTAGTTTCTCCTTGCTACAGATAGTAAAATGGGAACCAGAAAAGCTGAGGCAAGCGCTGCCAAGCCTGAGCCAGCACTGTATTCTGGCGACTTCCTTTCTAGGTGTACAGTCTGCAAGCGACCCGACTGCGACGCTTGTACAGAAGTGGGGGTTGAGGAGCTAGGAGTCTTACCTGCTGTCACAGAGCTTTCTGGGCCTGTGGGGACAGAGAATTGCTTGTTAGCACTGAGGCCTCCCAGGGCCTGTGGCCAGGCTCAGGCTGAGACCGGAATGCTCCCTGCTCAAGCAGAAATGCTGTTCAGATGCAAAACTGTTTGTTTCAGGGAAAGGGCGAACTGGACTTGTGAGAAGTGCTGGATGAGGGCTTGCTGTTAGCAAAACACAGAGGCCTCTCCCCGGGTCAGAGCATGGTGCAAGGCCTGCAGGGAGCAGCTAGGGCCTTCCCCACGGTGCTGCACGCAAGCCCCACTGAGTCCAGCTAGCTAGAGAATTCTCATTTGTGGCTTCTGGCCTTCTTGGCCACTGGAAATAAACCGGTGACAGTAGGAAGGCTAAGCTGACGCGAAGAGGCAGGTGGAGAGTGGCTACAGACGGTCTGCCAGCACCAGAACAGAGACGCCCTGGCAATCCAGCCCAGGCCAGGCCTCAGCTGAGCCACCCCCTGGAGCTCAGCAGTGGGCAGTGCAGGGTCCCCCACTCACTGGTGAAGAGCTGCTGGATGCGAGGGAAAGCACTGCCGGGCCCGCCCAGGAGAATACTGCCTATGAACCAAGTAAGGCCCACGACGATGACCAGGGCCACGATGCGCAGGGGACCTGGAGGGGCAGGGCAGACAGGGGGAAGCCCACCTCAGACACGAAGGCACTCCACAGTGGCCTTTCACAGTCAGGCCTCCTCTGCCACCAGGGAGGAAGGGACTACGGGACCACAAGGGGTCTGGCTGGGAGGATCTGCCAGGCCGAGCTCTGACAAGCCTGGTGCTCCCAGGCCGTTGGAGGATTCGAGTTGGTTCTGTGAGGTTTCCTAGTGTTTACGGCCAGCAGGGGGCTCCAGCCCTCCTGCAGGTATCCGCTCAACTTGCTACAACAAAGACCAGCTCCTTTCACTTGCACGCTGTCTCTATTCCTTCCTCCTAGTCACAGTGCATGTCCCTAACATTTTCTTTAAAAATATGTTGGTTTGGAATCTTTTTCAATGTTTATTTTCATCTACTTGAAAGGTAGAAAAAGAGACATCTTTCATCCTTCAACACAGGAGCCATCGTCTGCTGCCTTCCAGGAATATTAGCAGCAGGCTGGAGCAGGAGCGGAGCAGGCAGGATTCCAACTGCTACTCCAGTCTGAGGCTCAGGGATCCCAAGGGTGGCTTCATTTACTGCATCCCAGCCCTGCGATCCTTACGACCAGTGCCTGCTCCTCTGTGGGCGGAATCCGAAGATCTCCCTTGGCAGAGTTCAGTTGAATTTTCAGTATGTGTCATCTTACAGCAAAGAAAGCTAGTTACTTGGTGCGCAGTTTAAGTCGCTGTTTGAGGGCCCGGTGCAATGGATGAACTTAATCCCCCCCCTCCCCCCCCCCCGCAAGTGTCAGGATCCCCTATGGGCACCAGTTTGTGTCTCAGCTGCTCCACTTCCCATCCAGCTCCCCGCCTGTGGTCTGGGGAAGTAGTGGAGGACGGCGCAAAGCCTTGGGATCCTGCACCCGTGTGGGAGACCCGGAATAAGCTCCTGGCTCCTGGCTTCAGATCAGCTCAGCTCCAGGCCCTGTGGCCATTCAGGGAGTGAACTAGCAGATGGAAGGATTTTTTTTTTCTCTCTTTGTCTTCCTCTCTGTAAATCTGCCTTTCCTACAAAAATAAGTAAATCTTTTAAAAAACGCATTTGAAATTAAAAAGAAATTAACAAGGTGCAAACAAATGGAAGGAATCCCATGTTCAAATTAACTCAGGGTACTGACTGAGTGTTTGTGCACAGTCCATTTCCCAAAGCAAACCCAGTGAGCCACGCACGCTTCTCCGGACACAGGATGCTGGGGCACCGTGGAAGCCACCCACCTGCCAACCTCATGTCCACTTCTCCCGCTGTGTTGGGACCGCCGGCAGGTGCGCTGTTTGGGGACCGTGCGCGCTGGGGGGGGAGGGGGAAGAAAGAGGAAGAGCTGGTTTGGGTGGAGGTCAGGGGCAAGGCTGCTGGGCACCCGCGGGAGAGGCGGGCACCGTCCGCGCTGCGACTTGCTCTTCCAACCAAGCACCCGGCCAGGCCGAGCTCCCCGGCAATGCCGGGAGAAGCCCCGCCCGGCCAGGAGAGGCCCCGGAAAGCAGCGGCTCGCAGTCATGCCCACCGGAGTCTCCAGACCCCGGGCGTGGAGGCAGTTCTCGAGGACTCTGGCCCCTTCCTGTGCGAGGCCCCGAGCTCGGCCCGTTCCCCCAGGCCAGAAGGATGCAGACCTGAGCGGCCTTCCGGGAACTTGCCTGGCTGTGGGGAGACACAGGCTCAGTCAGAAGGGTGCCCTGGCCCGCCGGCCGCTCGGCTCCCGAGCTCGGCCAGGGCTGGCCAGCGAGCGGCGCGGAGCGGTCCTGCAGGCCCGGCAATGGCGGCCGGGGCGGGGCCAAGGCCGGCTCCGCCCCCCGTCGCCGCCGGGCTCCGCCCAGGCCCGGTCCCGGTTCCCTGGGGACTGGAGGAAGGCCCTGCGCCGGCCCCGCCCCGGAGGGCGCGCTGGAATTCCTCTGGAACGCGAGCTCCGTGCCCTGCTCGGTTCGGTTCCCAAGGCCTGGGAAGAGGGAAACGGGCGTGGGAGTATAGTCAGAAAATTCCCTGTTTTCAAAAACTGAGCTGAAATTGCTAATATAATACGATGCCTATATAAAATACTTTTTCAGGAACACAGAAGTTACAGAAGTGAATCTGGGAAAAACCTGCAGAATTCCAGAAGCCTGAGCCAACCTGCCAAAAAGTGGCTTCGTTTCCTACCGGCGCGTCCCCACTGTGTTGCAGTGGCACGGCGTGACAGAGACAGACACACCTGCCACTTCATGGTTCACTACCCAAAGACGCACCAGTCAGGACGTGCTTAGGCCAAAGCCAGGAATCAGGACCTTCACCCCAGGTAAGAGGTAGAGAGTCGAGCTCTGGGAACCTTTTCTGTTGCTTTCCCAGGCCATTAGCACAGAGCGCTGGAATCGGCAGTCGCGGGGGAGGGGACTGCTTAGGGGCTACATCCTAGTTTTATCTTTATCTGTGCCAGCTTGCTGCCCTGTAAACCACTGCCTTCAACACCGGGTCCCATATGGGCACCGGTTCTAATCCCGGCAGCCCCACTTCCCACCCAGCTCCCTGCCTGTGGCCTGGGAAAGCAGTGGAGGACGGCCCAAAGCCTTGGGACCCTGCACCCGCATGGGAGACCTGGAAGAAATTCCTGGCTCCTGGCTGCCACCTAACCCATGTCTTGCAAAGAGCACGTAGAAGACCTCTGTCTGTTTCCTCGCCCACCCACTCCCTCCCTCCCCACCATTCTGTCTTTAAAGCAAATGCATGTTAAAGAGGAAACCTGCCGTTCTGAGTTTGTTTAGCTTGGGGTAGGCTCCCCCTCACGACTGCTCCAGCTGCCTCCGCTCAGCTATCCTGCGACATGGCTATCAGCCACGCAGGTGGGGGTCACTTTGATCTCAAGAAATTTTTGTTATTGTTGTTGTGACAGGCAAGGTTTGTTGCTTGTCAGTCCAGGCTCTCTTTTCTGTTAAGCCGGTAACTGGTTTCTGTAACCCAAACTCCACAGTCTTAAATATATGCCTCCCATCTCCTGGACTTGGCATGTCAATGGAACTGTGAATTTGCTGTAAATTTTTTTTTAAGTTTTATTAAGGAGTCTTTATTAAAGGAGCTCAGTGATAATAGAGCACACTAGAAATAGCAGATCACGAGTCCATACGGCACTCCAGCCAATCGTAATCCAACAAGACATAACCCCAAGGGGAACAAATGCTCATTGCCCTGAAGTCCATCCATTAAGGAATTTGCTGTAAATTTATTTCAATTTTTTTCTATTTTATTTTAAATTTTAAACCTAAGAGCTTACTAAGCTCTCTAAGGAGATCAAGCCATGGGCCCTCCCCCTGCCTCCAAGACTCCATGGGGTGAGAGGCCCGAGCCCTGGGACTCCCTCCCAGGCAGTCAGTGCCTTCCTCGGCAGCCTTGCACAAGTTGCTTGTTCCCTCTGGGACCTTTTTTCCCATTTACAAGGTGAGGAAAAAAAAAAAAAAAAGAAGAAGAAGATTGTTCTTCTGGAGGAACAAAAATGCAGAATGTGCACACATTCAAATAAAACTTAGAGGGCACCTGCCCGTGGTGTGAAGTAAAAGCGGAGTGGGAGTGCTGAGCAGCCAGATCCTTGCAGTGCTTTGCCGAGCTGACACGGTGACAGGCACGGGCTTCCAGGCACGGGTGGCCCAACGCACACCACAGGCTAATTAGTATGCCCTGGGAAGCACACACGCCTTGATCCTGCGTAGAATACCTCTGCTGGAACATCTGTTATCTTACTTATTTTAAGTGTATAATCGAGGGCATTGGTTGCATTTACCATGCAGAAGTCTTCAACAAATTTCTGGGAAATGCATATTATGAAAACACTTCACATGAATTTAACATTTTTTTGCGCCCATTTCGATGAGTTTTTGAAGCCCTCTCATGAACGTGCGCAGATGTGTGAAACATCTGGCAAGATCGCACACTATACTGTAAGCAGTAGTGACTGCTGGGCTGCGGAGAAGTGCAGCTGAGTGCCCACAGGTGCCTGCCAAGCCCTCTCCCAGCCCCAGATCTCACACGTGCTGGCGGGGTGCCACGGCCCCGCTCAGCATGCTCTGTCCTCAGTCCTGGCCATTGCATGTGCCAACGGGTGCTGCAGACTGGTGCAACCCGGCCTCCTCCCAGCTCTGGCTCCTGTGAGTGTCAGGTGAGTTCCATGGTCCAGCCTGGCTCTGCCAGTCACCACCCCCAGTTCTCCGTGCAAACCGGTGGGTGCTGTAGGCGCACAGAGGTGGGCTCACAAGTCCCATACAGAATCCGCCCCCGATCCGGGCCCACCCCCCGCCCTAAGCCTCACAGGCAGGTACTGCAGCCTAGCCCAGGGAGGCATGCCCCCAGCCCCAGCTTTGGGGTGTGCCGATGGGAGGTGAGTGATGCTATTTGGCCCAGTCCAGGTCTTCCATGTGGGTGGGGCCTTGACCTGACCACTTATGTCCTCTAATCTCTCCCCTCTAAACCACCCTGTCTCAGCTCCCTTGCCCACCTGCAACCGCAGTGGCCCAAATCTGTGGAAGACCCCAGAAGTCATTCTTCCCCTGTCAACTTGCCCTCATTCGCTCCCGTTCTAGTAAGTCCCCAGACCCCTTACTCGGGCAACCTGCATGCTGCCCCCAGCTCAGCATGCTGTTCCTTGCCTGCCTTATTTATTTATTTATTTATTTAAAGATTTATTTCGGGGCCCAGCGCGGTGGCCTAGCAGCTAAAGTCCTTGCCTTGAATGCGCCAGGATCCCTTATGGGTGCTGGTTCTAATATAGGCAGCTGCACTTAACATCCAGCTCCCTGCTTGTGGCCTGGGAAAGCAGTGGAGGACGGCCCAAAGCCTTGGGACCCTGCAGCCGTGTGGGAGACCCAGAAGAGGCTCCTGGCTCCTGGTTTTAGATTGGCTCAGCTCCAGCCGTTGCGGCCAATTGGGGAGTGAAGCATGGAATGGGAGATCTTCCTCTGTCTCTCCTCCTCTCTGTGTATCTGACTTTGCAATAGTTTCCCCAGAAATTCCTTGCCCCACCTTTTGTGTTTCCACTTCCTTCCTTCCTGAATGAAGTGCTGAATCCTGGCAGTCCTGGTGTGGACTCTGGTGTGGTGTGGTTTGGCTGTTCCAGCATCTCCCCTCTCCCACACAGCCATCCAGCCTGGGCAGCCACACGGTCGGCGGTCCGGGCGGCCAGCGTGTGGGTGTGAGTGCCGAGGGCAGCGCTCGGTTCTCCATGGTCGCTCTCGCGTTGGCTCCCGCTTTGGCTGTCTCAGGAGAGTTCTCGCTGTGCCCAGCTCCCCGCACCCATTAGAGCAGGCCCATGAACGTGTTGCAACTGTTGCCTGGGTGTCCTCCAGAGCGCCCCCTTCTGGGTGAGGACCTTGGCCAGCAGCTTGTGGGGCTCTGCTGTCCTGGGCTCGTTCGCCGCGCCCTGCCCTGCGTCCCCACTCTGCGGGAATCCTGCAGACCTGCCCTTGGGCGCTATGGACGCTCACGCCACCTCTCTCCTTCCTGGGCGTTGGCACGTCTCACAGGGACCAGACTGTTACAGGTTGTCATTGTAAGAAGAGTGTAAGAAAGGAATTTTAATGCTCTTCACAAAAAGTTAAATCACAAGTCATATATTTGAACAATTTCCTTATATTAAAAGATACAATATCATTTTAAAGGGAAATCATGTAGTTCAAAAAGATAAGTATGCTGGGCCCGGCGCCGTGGCCTAGCGGCTTAGGTCCTCACCCTGAACGCACCGGGATCCCACATGGGTGCCAGTTCTAGTCCCGGAAGCTCCACTTCCCTTCCAGCTCCCTGCCTGTGGCCTGGGAAAGCAGTGGAGGACGGCCCAAAGCCTTGGGACCCTGCACCCGCGTGGGAGACCTGGAAGAGCTCCTGGCTCCTGGAATTGGATCGGCTCAGTTCCGGCCGTTGCAGCCACTTGAGGAGTGAATGAGCAGACGGAAGAGCTTCCTCTCTGTCTCTCCTCCTCTCTGTATATCTGATTTTCCAATAAAAATAAATCAATATTTTTTAAAAAAGATAAGTATGCTACATCAGTGAGAAACACGAGCAGCCACTGCATCTTGTCGTCCTGCTCTTGTACATTACTCTACGTTCTCCGAATCTGATTGGATCCCTGGATTTTAGCTCATTTTCTGTGTGACATTGGCTGCTGTTTGGGGGTTGAATGTCCTTCTGGGTGTCCCTCGTCCCCGGGAGGCACGGAGTTAACCCAGCATCTCACACAGGCCTCAAGGGCACTGTGCATCGGGATGTGTTTGCCGCAGCAGGATTCTGGAGGCAGTCCACCTTCATACAGGAAAGACATTTGCTCAGGGAGAGAATATTTTTTGCCCTTCTAGATGCTTTGAATAATCCCTTGTTTCTGCTTTGCTGTCCAGGACTGTGTTTCTAGGCACTGATTTACTAAGCATTTATTCTGGTTTGGATTGCTTTCCTTTGGTGTCAAAGGGCAAAACCAGTACAGTTACTTTCATGTCTTTTACAAATGTTTGGCTAAGGGCCTGGTGTGAAAGCCTAGTGGCTAACATTCTCCTTGCATGTGCTGGGAACCCATATGGGCACCGGTTCTAATCCCAGCTGCTCCACTTCCCATCCAGCTCCCTGCCTGTGGCCTGGGAAAGCAGTTGGGGATGACCCAAAGCCTTGGGACCCTGCAGCCGTGTGGGAGACCTGGAAGAGCTCCTGGCTTTGGGCTGCGGATCGGCTCAGTTCTGGCCGTTGTGGTCATTTGGGCAGTGAACCAGCGGATGGAGGAGCTTTCTCTCTGTAAATCTGCTTTTCCAATACAAATAAATCCTTAAACAAAAGTTTAGTGGCCATGTCATATTTGTACATGGGATACAGTCAGCATTTCTGTTATGTGCCGTGGCCTGATTCTTGCCTGGCCAGTTTGCACTCAGTAGCCATCACCTCTCTCCTCTTTCCCACTGCCCACTTTGATGATCTTTTAAAAAGTATGTATTTGTTGACCTCAGAGGTCAGATATTACCAGCACACACACTGCTCCTGTTTCCCAGTTCACTGCCCAGATGCCCACGATGCCTGAGGCAGTGAAACCAAAGCCAGCCAGCAGCTGCAAATTCACGCTTAGCCGCCATGTGTGTTGCAGCGGCCCAAGTATTTGAAATTTATTTTAGGACCCAGCATGGTGGCCTAGCGGCTGAAGTCCTCACCTTGAACGCGCCTGGGATCCCATATGGGCACCGGTTCTAATCCCGGCAGCTCCACTTCCCATCCAGCTCCCTGCTTGTGGCCTGGGAAAGCAGTGGAGGATGGCCCAAGGCCTTGGGACCCTGCACCTGTGTGGGAGACCCAGAGGTCCCGGGCTCCTGACTTCGGATCGGCTCAGCATCGGCCGTTGCGGCCACTTGGGGAGTGAATTATTGGATGGAAGATCTTCCTCTCTGTCTCTACTCCTCTCTGTGTATCTGACTTTCCAATAAAAATAAAATAAATCTTAAAAAAGTCAATAAAAAAAGCTTAAAATTAAAACATAAATATTTAAAAAAGAGAAATGTATTTTATATTATTAAAAAAAATATTTTTATGGCTGGATGGGAAGCGGGACCACATGAGATCCCAGAGTGTGCACGGCAAGGATTTAGCCACTAGGCTACTGCACTGGGCCTACTATTTGAAATTTATTATTTTGATTGGAAAGGCAGATTTACAGAGAGGAGAGACAGAAAGAAAGATCTTTCATCCACTAGTTCACTCCCCAGGTGGCCGCAAGGCCTGGAGCTGAGCTGATCTGAAGCCAGGAGCCAGTAGCCTTCCCCAGGTCCTCCACATGGGTGCAGGCCCCTATTTGAACTGACACGCAGGGTCTACATCAGCAGGATACTTTATTCACTATGCCACAAATCCTAGGCCTTTTTCTAAAAGGTAAATTGAAGTTAATATAATCACTTTAAAGCATACGGTTGGGACAGGCATTGTGGCCCAGCAGGTTAAGTCACTTCCCGTGATGCCAGCATCTCTTGTCGGTACCACTTTAAGTTCTGGCTGCTCCGTTTCTGACCCTGCTCCCTGCTAACGCACTGGGAGAGCAGTGGAGGACGGCCCAAGTGCTCGGGCCCCCGCACCCGCGTGGGAGAGCTGCAGGAGGCTCCTGGCTGGCCACGCGGAAGGTCCTGCAGGCCCGATCACCTCGGCGACCCATGCAAGGCTCGCTCATCTCTGTGTCTAAGCCTGGCTTTCAAATAAGTCAAATATATCCTGAACACCTGACACTGTTGTATAGAGACCAATTCGAGCTAGCTCCAAAATGTTTTCATCTTCAGGAAAGAAAGCTTGTGTCTGTCTAACTAAGCAGCTACACGGCCACTTGGGGTCGGCGTTCACATGCTATGGTGTGAATATATACGCATATGTATGTGTCTGCAAAGTTTTAATCTTTTTAAAAATGTTTATTTTTATTGGAAAATCAGATATACAGAGAATAAGATCTTCCATCTGTTGATTCACTCCCCAAGTGGCCACAATGGCCGAGCTACACCAATCTGAAGCCAGGAGCCAGGAGCCTCCTCCAGGTCTCCCACACGGGTGCAGGGTCCCAAGGCTTTCGGCCGTCCTCCAGTGCTTTCCCAGGCCACAAGCAGGGAGCTGGATGGGAAGTGGAGCTTCCGGGACTAGAACCGGTGCCCATATGGGATCCTGGCACCGTGCATGGCGAGGACTTTAGCCACTAGGCCACCGTGTTGGGTCCAACGTTTTTATCTTTTTATTTTCCATGTGACATGTACTTACTTATTTGAAAGAGAGAGAAAATGTTCCGTCTGCTGGTTTACTTCCCCATGTGGCCAGAACAGCCAGGAAACAGGGCTGGTCCAAGCTAAAGTCAGGAGCTAGCAGCCCCACGTGTGTGGCATGCAGGTCCTGTGATAGCCACGCTGATAGCTCAAGTGATGGTTGATGAGACCGGGCTGGGATCCATGCGCATCCTATGGAACGCACTCTTTTGCAGGGCACAATGCCCCGAAAGCCACGCAGCTGTCAACATTCTAGTTCTAGAACATCGCCATCAGCTGAGGGAGACAACGCCGCCTGGGGCCTTGGCCCTCCCTGGCTGAGTGAGGGGCCAGGTGACTGGCGACCAGACACTCCTCGGCTCTCCCGTGACCCTCTCAGTAGAGCAAGCAGCAGCTGACGGGTGCTTCCTGTTCTGTGCATCCAGAACTGGGGGTGACAACTGAACGCGGCCACCTTGGCTGCAGTAGGCAGTCTCGAGCCTGCCAGGGACGCACGGCCCTGGGTACTTGCCGTTGATCGCTCTCACCCAGCTCCTCCCAGTGCTGACATCCTGAGCGAGTGCGTAGTTGCTGGGCCTCACTGGCACCCAGCGCCACACCTCTTCCCTCACGTGACAGCCGGGCTCACCCAAGTGAGACTAAGGGCGTCAGGGTTGACAGGCAGAGGGCTTGTGGGCGGCAGCCTCCGTGCGGCACTCGTCCCCACAGTGCTACTCGCTGAGGCGCCTTGGCCACTCAGACTCAAGGCCACGTTGCATGGCCTCACCTGTGCCTCATTCAAGGCCAGGTGCCGAGTGCAGGCGAGAAGCCTCGCCCTTGTCTCGCGTGGACTTCCCAGACACTGTTGTCCTCATCAAGTTCCCCTGCCCTGCTCCGGATCTCACACCTCGGCATGTTTTGGCTCATATTTGAAACTTTGGGGACCCAGCATGCTGGCCGGGGTTTACGGTCTGGGATTATGGAGTGGGGGGTGGCAGTACCAACAAGATGCCCTCTGGTGACAAGGGAGACGGAACACTTTCCACCAAGAGCAAGTCTCCAAGCATCTTCAGAACAGGAGGCGGCCTCTGTGCGGGTGGTGTGCCTTGTCCTGGCGTCTCCTGCCCCCACCCCAGCAGGGGGCACCTCATTTATTCTGGAGGGCAGCAGAGGCAGCTGGCCTGGTTCAAAAGACACGGCGCCAAGAAGACAAGGGCAGCAGCCTTGTGCCTGGTGTGCAGCTGTGCCCATCAGCTTGCAAGGGCAGGTCTTGGCCTGGGCCATGTCTCTCTCCAGGGGCCAACAGGTACAAGCAAGACAGAGTGCGCTCGCTGTGCACACAGAGCGAGGAAGGCCCCTGAGGGCCTCTGCCGCCTCCTCTATTTGGAGACCAGGTGACCTTGCTTGCGCCTCCCCGCAGCACCATGCAAGGCTGCAGTTTGGGCGTGTGGGCAGTGAGCAGAGCAGGGGTAGACACAGGCCTTTCTTCCAGCCTGGCTCACTCCCAGACAGTACAAGCACAAAGGATAGTTATGTTTCTGGCCTGCAGTGGGGGCGTCATGCAGCGAGCAGCAGTGCCCAAAGGGGGAGGATGTGGCCAGGCCACCGTGTCACAATGCAATCATTCTGTTCCCAGACGGCCCCAGTTGTACGTGAGAACGAACTCGGGTTAGTTCCCGCTACGTGCCTTGCTGAGCTCAGGACAGAGGCTACGGGAAAATGCTGGGGCGGCCTGCTGGATGCAGTGAAGTGTCCCCCAGATTCACAGACGGCCATGTGTGGCAACAGGGCTGTTCTGGGTACTCATGACCGTGTGAGGATCCAAGAGCCACCGCTGTTGTTTTCTGTACCACTAAGGAGGTGCCAGAGATAAGCTCCATACTAGTTGCTTAGGCCACAAAGCCAGACACGACCCTAGCTATCAGTCACAACACACACTGCTTCCTCGAGCTAAATCCTTCAGCCAGTGCGGCCTCCGGGGCCTTGGTCAGGGCGTGCTGGGCCTCCCAGACCACAGGCAGTGGAAGCTGCAGGTGGGGCTGAGTGCGGAGGGCTCAGGAGGCGGCACAGCACAGGGTGCCACCCAACTGCATGCAGCAGCAGGCCCGTGAGACCCCAGATGGCTGGTGGGAAGCAGGCAGGGCAAGTGCAGGGCATGGGCAGGGAGACAAGGGAACAGGCCAGGCTATTTGCAAATTTAATGGCAGGGACTTGGGTGGAAGGGCCCAAGGTGGGGGTGACCGTGGAGTGCAGGGGTCTTAGCCATTGTCCAGCGGCACAAGGCCCTCGTGGCTGGAGGTGAGGAATGTGGAGCGGCCCCGAGGCCAGTGTGCTGGAGCGGAGGTCCTCCCACGTAGACACGCGCAGGTCACCTTCCCCCGGAGCTCGCGCACAGCCAGCAAGGAGTGTGCCTTGGCCCGCGGCCTCTCTGCGGGCTCTGGGCCCGCGCCACAGGGCTGCAGCAGGCAGACGGGATGGTCCCTGCGGCAGAGCTGGCCGGCTCCCGCAGAAGTCCCAGGCTGGAGTGGTCTTGGCGGCGGCAGCAATGAGTGGAGAGGGGAGGCCTGTGGTCCCAAAGTCCTCCCGACATGGAGTCGGGTGGTGTACAAGACAGAGACAGAGGGGTGGCTGGGGGTGGGGAGGGGGCGGGGTGGGGGCCGGGGCTCACAGCTTGTGGGGGTTCACCCACTTGTAGGTGCCCTCGTACTGGAAGCCCACTTTCTTCATGAGCTCATCTGCTTCCGTGGGGCCTCGGCTGGGAGCGACAGGCACAGGGACTCAGGTGGGGGCTCCCCGGCACTGCTCCCCCACCCCCCGGGACCCCCCGGCACCCTCCCTCACCCTCCCTCACCTGCCGTAAACATAGGGGATGGGCTGCGGCTTTTCGCGCTCGATGCGGTGCAGCAGTGGAGTGAAGATGCGCCAGGCCTCGCGCAGCTCATCGCTGGGGGGACGGGCAGGGACAGCGTGAGGCAGGGCAGGCGGGGCCGGCGGGCAGCAGGCGGGCAGCAGGCAGGGCAGGCGGGACCGGCGGGCAGCAGGTGGGCAGCAGGCAGGGCAGGTGGGGCCGGCGGGCAGCAGGTGGGCAGCAGGCGGGCAGGCGGGGCAGGCGGGGCAGGCGGGGCAGGCGGGCAGCAGGCAGGGCAGGCGGGGCAGGCGGGCAGCAGGTGGGGCCGGTGGGCAGCAGGTGGGCAGCAGGCAGGGCAGGCGGGGCCGGCGGGCAGCAGGTGGGGCCGGTGGGCAGCAGGTGGGCAGCAGGCAGGGCAGGCGGGGCCGGCGGGCAGCAGGTGGGCAGCAGGCAGGGCAGGCGGGGCTGGCGGGCAGCAGGCGGGGCCGGTGGGCAGCAGGCAGGGCAGGCGGGGCCGGCGGGCAGCAGGCGGGGCAGGCGGGCAGCAGGCAGGGCAGGCGGGGCAGGCGGGCAGCAGGTGGGGCCGGTGGGCAGCAGGTGGGCAGCAGGCAGGGCAGGCGGGGCCGGCGGGCAGCAGGTGGGCAGCAGGCGGGCAGGCGGGGCAGGCGGGGCAGGCGGGGCAGGCGGGCAGCAGGCAGGGCAGGCGGGGCAGGCGGGCAGCAGGTGGGGCCGGTGGGCAGCAGGTGGGCAGCAGGCAGGGCAGGCGGGGCCGGCGGGCAGCAGGTGGGCAGCAGGCAGGGCAGGCGGGGCTGGCGGGCAGCAGGCGGGGCCGGTGGGCAGCAGGCAGGGCAGGCGGGGCCGGCGGGCAGCAGGCGGGGCAGGCGGGCAGCAGGCAGGGCAGGCGGGGCCGGCGGGCAGCAGGTGGGCAGCAGGCAGGGCAGGCGGGGCCGGCGGGCAGCAGGCAGGGCAGGCAGGGCAGGCGGGGCCGGCGGGCAGCAGGCAGGGCAGGCGGGGCCGGCGGGCAGCAGGCGGGGCAGGCGGGGCCGGCGGGCAGCAGGCGGCGCGGCTCACCTGCGGACGAAGTGCATCTGGCTGCCGCAGAAGACGTCCAGGATGAGGCGCTCGTAGGCGTCGGGCAGCTTCACGTTCTTGTATCTGTTGCCGTAGGTGAGGTCCAGCTCGGACTCCTCGGGGTTGAAGAACATGCCGGGCTTCTTGGTCATCATCTTGGTGTACACGGCCTCGTTGGGCTGCACGCGGATGACCAGCTCGTTGCGCTTGCACTGCTGCTGGAAGATGTCGCCCGCCACGTCCCGGAACTGCAGCCGCACCTCGGCCTTGCGCTCGTTCAGGGCCTTGCCGCAGCGCAGGATGAAGGGCACCCCTGGGCGGTGAGCAAGGCGCACAGCTGGCTGCGTGGGGCCGGGCCGGGCGGCGCGGGGCTGGGAGCAGACACGCCCGCGCCGGACCTACCTTCCCACCGCTCGTTGTCCACGTACAGGACGACGGCCGCGAAGGTGGCTGTGGTGGAGCCGCGGGGCACCGTGGGGTCATCCAGGTACCCCTTGCTGGCCTCTCCCTCTCCGTTGGGGTTCCCCACGTATTGGCCCAGAACCACGTTGTCGGTCTGCACTTCTGAGATGCACTTCAGCACCTTGACCTGGGGGAGGGCCGGGCCGGTGAGCCTTCCGGCGCGCTGGGCCGGGGCGGGGGCGGCAGGGCATACCTCCTCCTACCTTCTCATCCCGGACGTCGTCGGAGTCGGTGGAGGCAGGCTTCTCCATGGCCACCAGGCAGAGCATCTGCAGCAGGTGGTTCTGCATCACGTCCCTGGAGACACGGGAGGCCGCGGTGAGACGGCGGGGCTGCGGCACGGGCTGGGCGAGCAGACCGGGAGACGCAGCTCTCACCGAATGATGCCGAACTCATCAAAGTAGCCGCCGCGGCCCTCGGTGCCGAAGGGCTCCTTAAAGGTGAGGATCACGCAGGCGATGTTGTCGCGGTTCCAGATGGGCCCGAAGATCCTGTTGGCAAACCTGCAGGGGCGGGCGGGGCGGGGCGTCAGGGCGGGCGGCCCGCGCGGCCGTGCGGGAGGGCCCGCGCCGCAGCCGCACCTCAGCACCATGAGGTTCTGCACCATCTCCTTGCCCAGGTAGTGGTCGATGCGGTAGATCTGGTCCTCGCGGAAGAGCGACGAGATGTGGTCGGACAGCTGGTCCGAACTCTGCAGGTCTCTCCCGAACGGCTTCTCCACAATGATTCGGTTCCAGCCTCTGGCGGGAGTCAAGGCACTTCACTGCCACCCCTGCCCCGCCCCGGGGACCTTTGCTTTGGCACAAAACCCCTCGCGCCTGTGGTCACGTGAAGCCCCTCTCGGGTCTGCCTAGCAGCTAGGGTGGCAAGCCAGGACTGCCTGTTACCGTGGCACGGTCCTGGCAGCTGGTGGGAGGGGTGCGGGTCGGGGATTGGGGTACCGCTCCCACACTGGTTGTCAAGGAAGAAAAGGACCTGCTCTTTGCCATAGAATCTCGGCTGTTCCAAAGCGGAAGAGGAGAAACCTATGGACGTTGGGGGCGGGTGTTGGAAAGCTGGCTTCTCCCGCAGCAGCGGCACCATCTGGCGGCCGTCGTTCACGGGCACCGCGGCGCTCGAAGGAAGCGGCAGTGAGCCTGCCGTGCATCGCGTGGTCACGGGTGCGCTTGCTCGGGAGCATCCTAGACGCCCGGGAGCAAGCGGCCGGGGAGCTCCAGGGAGGGTCGGGACGGGCGGCAGCAGTTTTACAAAAGGCTGTCCTCACAGAGAACCGACCAGGGACCTCCTGGTGAGAACGACTGCAGGGGTTCTGCGGGAGGGCTCACGTGTGGCTCAGGCACGCGGCGTGGATGTTCCTGGTGACGCTCTCGTAGACGGTGGGCGGCAGCGCCAGGTAGAAGAGGCGGTTGCAGCGCGGGCCCTGCCGCAGGCTGCCCACGTGCTCGCTGAGCCGCCGGTAGCAGGCAGGGTCGTCGTACTGGCCGGCCACGTACGAGTTGCGGGCGAAGAACTCCTCCAGCTTGGGCTCCTCGTCGCGGTTCACCTGGGGGCGAAGCGCCGCCCGTGTGCCCGGGGTGCCCGCGGCGCCCGGCCCGCCCGCAGCCCGCCGGGAGCACGCGGCCAGCACTCACCCGGAAGAAGGGCTCGCTCTGGCGGCGGATGTCGGCCACCGTGAGGCGCGAGCGGGCATAGCCCACGACGAAGGTGTCTTGGGGCAGGAGGCCGTCCCGGAAGAGCCACCTGAGGGCAGAGCGGGCTGCGGTGAGGCCCGGCCGAGCGGGCTGCACCCCGGGCTGAGGTGGCGCAGACGCGTGCTTACCAGATGGTAGGGTAGATCTTCTTCTTGGCCAGGTCGCCCTACGGCAGCAGAAGCACGCGTGATTAGAATCTGGGCCGTGGGGCCTGCTGCGGTGGCTCTAGAGGCTAGTCCCCCCTGTGCAAACACTGCGATCCCACATGGGCACCTGTTTAGGTCCCAGCTGCTCCACTTCCCGGCTGGTGGCCTGAGAAAGCAGCAGCAGAGGGCCTGAAGCCTAGGGACCCTGCACCCACGTGGGGGACCCGGAAGAAGTTCCTGGCTCCTGGCTTCGCATCGGCTCAGCTCTGGCCATTGTGGCCACTTGGGGAGTGAACTAGCGGATGGAAGATCTTCCTCTCTCTCCTTTCCGTAAATCTCATCTGCCTTTCCAATATAAACAAATAAACAAAAACCATAACAGCCTTGCTAAATTGCACAAATAGAGACAGCACCGTTGGGAAGATGACCTGGACACAGCACAAAGCGGTAACTAAGGAGGGGCTCCAAGCACAGCCCCTTCACCTCCTCCGGCGCCCAGTACAAGAGCTTGGACGCATGGCCCGCGCGGGGCTAAGGCAGGCAGGTGCAAACGGCTGCAGCCGCGCAGGGGCCGAGAACGGAAGTCATCACAATCCACGAAACTTAACGAAATGTGATCAGTAAAAAAAAAGCAGTGACATCAGGCAATGATTTCTTAGGCGGTAAAAACCATCATTATAATTGGTCAATTGAGATTTTTTTGTAAATACACCACTAAGAAAATGAATAGCCAAGCCTCTTACCACATGCTAACAAAACAATCCTCTTAAGGAGCCAGCAGGCTGGCAGGGCAGGGGAGCTGTTGGCACAGCGCTAAGTGGGAGGCACAGCTGCTCTACTTTCTTTTCTTTTTTTTTTAAAGATTTATTTTTATCATTTTTTCATTGGAAAGGCGGATATACAGAGAGGAGAGACAGAGAGGAAGATCTTCCGTCCGATGATTCACTCCCCAAGTGAGCACAACGGGCCGATACTATGCCGATCCAAAGCCAGGAGCCTCTTCCGGGTCTCCCACGCGGGTGCAGGGTCCCAAAGCTTTGGGCTGTCCTCCACTGCTTTCCCAGGCCACAGGCAGGGAGCTGGAAGGGAAGCGGGGCTGCCAGGATTAGAACCGGTGCCCATATGGGATCCCGGGCGTGCAAGGCGAGGACCTTTAACCACTTGCGCCACCGCGCCGGGCCCAACTTTCTTTTCTTTTTAAATATTTATTTATTTTTATTGGAAAGGCGGATATATATAGAGGAGGAGAGACAGAGAGGAAGATCTTCCGTCCGATGATTCACTCCCCAAGTGAGCGCAACGGCTAGTGCTGTGCCGATTCAATCCAAAGCCAGGAACTTCTTCCGGGTCTCCCACGCGGGTGCAGGGTCCCAAGGCTTTGGGCCGTCCTCCACTGGTTTCCCGGGCCACAGGCAGGGAGCTGGATGGGAAGTGGGGCTGCCGAGGTTAGAACCGGCATCCATATGGGATCAGATCCCAGTGCGTTCAAGGCGAGGACTTTAGCCACTAAGGCCATAGCACCGGGCCCGCTTGCTCCATTTCTGGTCCAGCTCCCCTGCTAATGTGCTTGGAAAAGCAGCAGCAGATGGGGCTCCTGCACCCACAGGGGAGACCTGGATGCAGCCCCTGGCTCCTGGCTCCTGACCAGCCGAGCTCTGGCCTTTGTGACCACTTGCACTGAGCCAGAAGGTGGAAGATCTGTTTCTCCATCTCGCTATAAAATCTGCCTTTCCAGTAAAAATAAATAAGTAAATGTTTTTTTTTTTTTTTTTTTAAAAAAGGTTTATTTATTTTTACTGGAAAGGCAGAGATACAGAGGGGAAGATTGTCCTTCCGATGATTCACTCCCCAACTGACAGCAATAGCCAGAACTGCGCTGATCCGAAGCCAGGAGCCTGGAGCCTCATAAGGGTCTCCCACGCGGGTGCAGGGTCCCAAGGCTTTGGACCGTCCTCCACCGCTTTCCCAGGTCACAGGCACTGAGCTGCATGGGAAGTGGAGCAGCTGGGATTAGAACAGGCGACCATATGGGATCCCAGTGATTCAAGGTGAGGACTTTGGCCGCTAGGCTATCGCACTGGGCCCATAAATAAATGTTTTTAAGAAGAGATTTATTTACTTATTTAGAAGGCAGACTAGAAGAGACGGGGGGGGGGAGGGCGGGGGGGAGAAGATCTTCCATCTGCCAGTTCATTCCCAAAAAGCTCACAGCAGCTTGGCTAGGCCAGCCTGAAGTCAGGGAGCAGGAACTTGTTATGAATGGCGGGCACCCACGTACTTGAACACATTAGCAAGAAGCTGGATCAAAAGTAGAGCAGCCAGGACTCCAATTAGGCAAATATTTGCCATTTTCCAAGGAGCTTTAGCACAGAACTAGAGTGAAAATACAGCAGGGCCTGGCGTGTAGCCTAGCGGCTAAAGTCCTTGCATTGTACGCACCACGATCCCATATGGGAGCCGGTTCTAATCCCTGTAGCTCCACTTCCCATCCAGCTCCCTGCCTGTGGCCTGGGAAAGCAGTGGAGGACGGCCCAAGGCTTTGGGACACCCGTGTGGGAGACCCGGAAGAGGCTCCTGGCTTTGGGTTGGAGCAGCTCAAGCTGTTGCGGCCGCCTGGGGAGTGAACCCGTGGATGGAAGATCTGTCTCTTCTCTCTGTGAATCTGCCTTTCCAATAAACAAACGAATGAAGCAAGCAAGCAGGAAGCAGTGTTGTTTCGAGCGGCTGTGCTGCAGGGGCGTCATCTCGCCCTGCTTGGGGACCTGTGTGCTCAGGCAGGCACGCCGATGTCATCAGCCGACAGAAGTCCTTGGCCTTTGGAAGAAACTGATTGAATACACTCGTGAACCCGCAGAGTATCAAGAGCCCGGAAAGGAGACTGAGGAGCATGCAGAGGGCAGAGCGCCCAGCTCAGCACAGCCGGGCCTGGATGTGGGCTGGCCAGTCACTGGGAGGGGTTTCAGAGTTCTCACCCTCTGGGCTGATCTGCCCACCCAGCCCAGGCGCCAGTGAGCCTGGCAGCTTCATTTGGAAGCTGATAAAGCAGGTGCTAGGGAGGGGAGGGAGCGGGGCAGCCGGGCCAGGGTGCTGAGCAGCACAGGGAGCATGCCCTTTCATCTTCAGCCCTGTAATCAGGTGCCCGGGCCCGCAGGGGTGGGGAGCCCTGCCGCCCAGGGCTCTGGGACTCCATGGGGAGTAGCCCCAGTGGCGGGGCCTGGGCCTGCTTAGCTCTGACTCAGCTGGGATAGAAGAGCCAGTGCCAGGTCTGAAGGAGCAGACTAGGGAATGTGAAGGTAACCCATCAGCTGCCAGAGGCCCTGACCCGCCATCTAACAAGTGCATTAGGCCCAGCTTTTCCCACTGCCTGAGCTAAGTGTTCCGATTGAACCAGTATAGGCAAGTGTGCCAAGGTAGGCAGGAGGGCCCCTCTGCTTTGAGCCAGGGCAGCCGCGGAGCTCGCCAGCGCTCGGGGCCGTGTCCCAGGGGCTCCCGATGCGGAGGACACCCACTGCCCTGCTCAGGATGTGCAAGTGGCAACTCTGCCATTTCTCAACAGTGCCCGAAGGCATCCTTCTGGGCAACATCCTCCTGGGGCCATCGGAGCCATACAGGGGGGCACCGCACAGACACCCCATGGATGCCTACTGTCTGACTTCTGTGCCAGCACCAGGCCCCTCGGGGGATGGGAGTGCCCCTACATGATCTGGTGTGTTCAGGGAAGTGTCCCAAGTCCCTGCCAACTGGCTTTAGTAGCCCAGGGGAACCCGTCACCCCTACCTTCCCCAACTGACACCTGCGTGGCTGCTCACTGCCTGTGCTGCCCAGCTCAGAGGCCTGCCCCCCGCCCCCCCCGTCCCCACAGGCACCCAACAATGCCCACCTCTGGCTTCCCCTCTCTGTGGGGCCTTGGGCAGACAGGGCCAGTGTGTGGTGAACTGTAAACTGGTCCCGGGGGAACAGTGAGAGGCTGTGTTTGCTTAGGAGCAAATCTCAACACAGCGGGCGGGAGCAGGTTGCGGGGCCGAGGCTGGGACCAGTCTTGCTGAGTCACACTGCCCCACACCCCTAGCCGTCTGTCCTTCCTTTTCCCTTTGGGATTAGCCACGCTAGAACCTGCTCACCTTGTTTCAGCTCTGTGCCCGCGACCTCAGGGCTGGGCCCCCGAGTCACCTGAGAGACCGGCTAGGTAGGACTAAGGACTATGGGGGCAAGGGCAGAATTGGCTGCTCCCTCTCGCGGGGCCCTCAGCACTTGGGGCTAGCCTGTGGCCATGAGCTCACCCTACACTCCGCAGGACTGGCTATGGGCAGCCCCTAGGAAACGCCGTGCAGCTGTGGCCCGGGAACTTCCCATCTCTGGCAACCCCTCCTGTTGTGTAAGGAGCGTAGCAGGAGCGGTGCCCACCCCAGGAGACGCAGGTCCTGATTAAGGTCTCTAGCACCAATATGTGGCCAGGCCAGAGCAAAGGGGCTTCCTCTGTCACCTGCCTGGAGTCACCTGGGGTTTGGCTACAGCCAACTGCTTTATGAATGCACATCATGGTGGCCCATGTTGGTGGCCTAGGGGGGGCAGGCTCCCGAGCCCCCTGCGGTGGGATCCTGGGTCTCACTCAGGGGAGCTGTTGAGGTGAGCTACATCTGAGAACCCAACAAAAAGGGCCTCCTTCCTACACGCCGGGGTTCATGACTCATTGGGCCTTTGGGGCAGTGCCAACATCATGACACAGCAAGAATCTTATAGACTGGGGGGAGACAGCCTAGACTTGTGCTGAGGACAGGGAGGGATCGGAGAGCTGGCCCCGATCCTGCGGACTGCCAGGACTGCGTTGGCCAAGGGCTTGTCAGGTGGAGCAAGGTACTCTCAGGGTTCTGAGGTTCTCCCTCCTCTGCGGTACAGCACGCCCGGAGCTCAGCTTCCTTCCTGCTGGGAAGGGGGAAGCGGCATAGCGGGGCCGCCGAGGGGACTCTGAGCTGGCTTTGTGCGCTGCCGCCAGGAAGGAAAGTGGGCACGGTGGGGAGGGTTGGGCAAGCCATGGCACAGGGAGGAGGCCAATGTGTGGCCATGTGGCTGGCCTGCCTTGTGATGGTCTGTCCAGAAGCTGGCCTCCTTTCTGTTTCTAGGTCATGCTAAGCTTGCTCTGACTCTGGGGCATCTGTGGTGCTGTGCGCACGGAATGCCATGGCAGGCCCTCCTCGTTGGTCACTTTTCTCAATGCCAGAGCCCCCCAGAATACAGAGGCAAGGCATGTGGCTATTGGGGTCCAGAAGCCCTAATGAATTCGTGGGTGCTGAAGGATTGGGAAACCCATGGCTTTCCGTATGCCCAGGTGTCCTGCCTACTTTTTTTCTGCCTACCTTTTGTAGCCAGTGAGGCATTTGGGTGGGACTGCTCCAGGTGGTGCCTAGGCACAGAGCCCGCCCATCAAGCCCACCCTGCTCTGGTCTCTCGCTGCAGGAGGGAGCAGTGAGTAGCGAGGCTCTTCACAGGACCCTTACCCCTTGCACTGCCTCCCGGAGCCTGCACCCCCTTCGCTCTGGAAGGAAATCAAAGAGGAACTCCACAAGCTGCAATGAAGCAGCATTGCCCAATCCCGGCTGAAGGCCAGGCCGCAGGCCCACTGCACCCATCTGCCAGGTAGGAACAGTGCAGCTTTGAAAAGGGGCCCTTGCTCCAGGTTGGGTCAAAGTGTGCACACTCTTAGGCCTGGCACGTGGACGGGGACTGGGAATGCCCCTTGGCTACTGAGACTAAGGTTCGTGGCTGACACCGTATGGCTCTTCCGGTGGCACTGGGCTCGGGTCCAGCCTGCAGCCCTGTGTGCCCCACTTGTGCACCTTCTGTGGGCGTTAAGGTTTTGGGGAGTCAGCAGATAGTGTTCGGGGTGGGTCCTTAGTCATGTGCCATGCTGTGAGTGGTGGCAGAGTGCGGATGTGAGTTCATGGCAAAGATGGCTGCCACCCTGTGAGCAAACCGTCGAGCACAGCATGGGTTCAGAGTGAAAACTCAACAGCATCTCTCCCAGTGCTGTCCAGTGGCCTGGGCCCTGCTCTTTGGCCTTTGCCATGGGAGCTCTAGGTGCTGAGTAGTGGGAGCAGGGTCGCTGGGGCAGAGCTGCCGAGCAGCCTTCGGAAGCCCTTGGAAAGCCTTGTCCAAGTGCAGTGTCTTCTGCAATAACAATGGGAGCTATGGACCATTTGTGCACGCAGGAAGCAGCTGAGACAGAGCGGCCCTAAGGGTCTTGCCTTGCCTGGACTTGATGCTCCACTTCACAGCTAAGCTCTGCTTTCGGCAGTGCTTGTCCGTGTATACATAGGATGTGGTGTGGCCTCAACCCCTGGCATGAAGAGCGAGCTGGAGAAGGTTTTGTGTCCTCCATGAAGTGCACTTTGAGGACTCGGGGCTTGGGGGGGACTTACCGAAGCACCCATGATGATGAATATGTGTGTGTCCTTCTGGTGGAAGGCATTGCCTTGGTACAGCTCTTCTCGGAGGATCCCGCACACCTGGGTGCGGCTCAGGGCCACCTGCTCTGCCATGGTGCTGTCTGTGGGACGAGACAAGAGCATTCCGACGCTGGCCCCTTCTCTGCAAATGCTTGAGGCCCTCACTGGGTTGAGGTCGCGGGACGGGCAGGATGTCGGGAGGGGCGGGGATGGTGGCGTCGGAAGCTGGCTGCCCCGGGCATCCCCCCTACTTTCTCAGAATACGTTAGCAAAGTGCGCCGAGCGGCGGTGCGGTGCAATAGTGGCATCAGGTGGAGTAAGAGGCTCAGGCGGGGGCGCTCAGCCGAAGCCACAGTGAACACATCGCGGCGGGTCGCAGCGCTGCCCGGGTGTCAGCCACCTCGGAGGCGCACAGTGGCGGGCGCGCGGTGCCAAGCCGCGAGCAAGCCCCTGTAGTCGCTGCCGGCGTGCCAAGCGCGGCTGTGGGCGCACAGCATCCCCCTCTGCCGGAGCGCCGCCCGCACACCCAGTTACCTGCGCTCCGCCGTCGGCGCCCGCGGTACTCACGGTCCTGCAGCGCGCGAGCGTTTCCGGGGCCCGGCGTCTAGGCGGCCCATTTAAGCGGCGGGGGCGGGCGCCTCGGCTGAGCTGACCGCGCTCAGGCGAGGCCCGAGGGGCGGGGCTTGGGCGGACGCCGGGCGCGGGCGGGGCGCCGCGGCCCACTGCGCATGCCCGCGCCCGGCGCCCGCCCGCCCACCCGCTCTCGGCCCGGGGGCGTGGGCGCCGCCTCCGCGGCCACGCGGCGCGCCCGCTTCCGCCTTCCGCGGCCGCGCCCCGCCGGCTTGCCGTAGGCCCCGGGGAAGCGCCGGGCGGCCCAGGCGATTGGCGCGGCCTCCGCGCGGCTCCTCCCGGGCCGGGGCGGGGCGGGCCGCGTGCCGCCGCGGTTCTCGCGCCCCGCCGACGCCCGCCTCGCCCCCCTCCGGCGGGCTGCCGCCTTATCGCCGCCTCGCACCTCGCGTCGCTCTCCCGCTCCCGGACGGCGACTTTTACTTCCGGATTCCATGGCTACGACACCGGAAACCGGAAGAGGGCTTGCGACAGCGGAGAGGGCAAGGGCGGTCGCCCGCCCGGGACCTTCTTGGAACTCGGGACTTCTCGGAGCTCTCCCAGCCCGATGTTCCTGCCCTGCTCGCCTCTCGCTCACGACTCTCCTGACAGGTGTGTCTCTCTCGCCCCCAGACAGGACCCCGCCGACGCTCGGCCGCACGTCCAGCTTGCCGCTCCACACGGGCCCCAGCCGGGAGCGCGACCACAGCCGGCCTGCTTACACTCTTGCCAGCCCTCTAGCTCGCAACGCCACCGAGCCTTTCTCTACCCCTAGCGCAAGGCCTCTTGTACTTTGCACACGCTTTCTCTTACCACACTTGTGTGCGCTTGAGATTTCAACAAAGCCTACAGCATAATCTGGCAGCTAACTATCTGACCTCATAGGCGTGGACTTGCTGCTTTTGCAAAACGCGCCTCGTTTTCCTGACCTTGATGCGGTGTCTGTGGCCTCAGTAAGTAACCTGTGCGAGCGTATTTTCTCGTCGGCAAGCAGTCCACTGCGCCTGGCACCGAGCCGCACAGGCAGACTCGTTGGGACAGGACGGACCGGGAGCTCAGGGAGACACATGCCCCAGCACTGTGAGAGCAGAGCCGTGATGGCAATGACCTTTGCTAGGGCACTCTTCGCACTCTGGTCACACTGGGTGCAGAACACGTTGAAGGCCGAAGCGCGGTGTCTGCTGAATGCTCCTCGCTAGCAACCAGCTGAATGATGCGCAGACCCTTGCCGTTTTTATTGGAAAGTTGAAAAGGTGCAAAACTTCAGAGAACAAACACCATGCACCTGTCTCCAGGCATCAGCGATCAACCTGTGCTTGCTGTTCATTTACATGAATTATACTTGCCTTAAATAACAACCTTTTTAAAAAAAGATGTACTTGTTTTTATTGGAAACTGATTTACACAGAATACAGAAAGATCTTCCGTCCACTGGTTCACTCCTCTAGTGCTTGCAACAGCTGGAGCTGAGCTGATCAACAGCCAGGAGCTCTTCCAGGTCTCCCACGTGGGTGCAGGGTCCCAAAGCTTTGGGCCGTCCTCCACTGCTTTCCCAGGCCACAGGCAGGGAGCTGGATGGGAAGTGGGGCCACCGGGATTAGAACCGACGCCCACATGGGATGCTGGCGCCACACGCCCCAGTACTGGCGCTGGCATCACGTCGTTCTTGATAGACTCCACGTACCGCATGGTTCACTCATTGCTAGCGTACACCCACTGAAGAAATGCTGTGCTGTTAGCTACAGCCTGCGAGCCCACGGCCTTGGTCTCTGAAAGCTTATGTGCACTCTGCAGAGTTCAAGTCGTACGAGGTTGTTTGTGACTAGTTTTTTTTTTTTAATCGTGATATTTGCAAGATTTATTTGTGTTCTACTATGTGGCTGTAGTAGGTGCGTTGAAGAGCGCGTGAACACCCGGGCTGTGGCCGCTTTGGCCCTTCACATACGGGCATGAGTTTGCACTTTTTTCTTGGGTGTGTATCTAGGACTTTCCCCTTTATTTTGAAGTGTATCCGGTATCATTTATCAATATTCCAGTGTGTATCCTGCTCAGAATAGAATATCGCATAAGCACAGTATAATTTTGCTGCCTGAAACAGTTCGGATGAATTGCTTAGTCTTCAGCTGTCTTTTGGCAGCATTTTCTCCCGGGTTTGCCATCAACTGATAAGGAAGGTGCTGGGTGAATTGGCTTTTGGGGAGTGTCCGGAATCTGAGGAAGGTCGGGTTTTTTTTTTTTTTTTTAAAGATTTATTTTTATTATTTATTTTTATTGGAAAGGCAGATATACAGAGAGGAGAGACAGAGAGGAAGATCTTCCGTCCGGTGATTCACTCCCCAAGTGAGCGCAACGGCCGGTGCTATGCAGATCCAAAGCCAGGAGCTTCTTCCGGGTCTCCCACGCGGGTGCAGAGTCCAAAGCCTTGGGCCGTCCTCCACTGCTTTCCCGGGCCACAGGCAGGGAGCTGGAAGGGAAGCGGGGCTGCCGGGATTAGAACCGGCGCCCATATGGGATCCCGGGCGTGCAAGGCGAGGAGCTTAACCACTTGCGCCACCGCGCCGGGCCCGGAAGGTCGGTTTTGAGAAGACTGGTAGCTCTCTGAGTTTGATCTGTGTCTGAGGTTCAGGACGTTTTTGGCATGATACTGAAAGTCAGCTCGAGGTAGCTGGATGGAAGCCACGTGGGAAGGAGTGTAGTTCGAGCATGGCTGAAGCAGGATAGAGTCGGGGAGCATGCCAAGAGGAAGAGAGTGGAAGCTCAGGGCAGTGGGCTCTGGACGAGGCCAGGAAGGGAGGCCCGACTACTCTGGAAGCTGGGGAGGAGACTAGAGGAGGGACAGATGAACCGAGACTCATGGGACAAGATCAGTCTGAGGAAGCTGTCATTTGGAGGCCCACAGTTTAACTGCCTCTATAGAGACACTTTCCCAACTAAAGTTACGTCTGTAACTTTGGGGGGCCAAGGTTGAGCCTGCCATGCTGGGGGAGGGGTCCTACCCCTCTTGCTCGGGGTCTGGGCAGGGCTGGGCTTCCCAGCACTCGTGTGTCTCCTTCATTTCCTGCCTCTGACAAAAATTGTGCCTTTGCCTTATAGCCTGAAGACGGTGCTGGCAGGTTTTTCTGCCCAAGTGTCAGCATCTAGCCTTGGAATGAGGGTATTGCAGTCTCTTGGCTCAAAAGTCCATTGTGGTCCCTGATGTGCTAAAGTCCTCATCTTGCACAGGCTAGGATCCCATATAGGCACGTGTTTATGTCTCAGCTGCTCCACTTCCCATCCAGTGCCCTGCTTGTGGCCTGGGGAAGCAGTGGAGGACGGCCCAAAGCTTTGGGCACCCGCGTGGGAGACCTGGAAGAGGCTTCAGATTGGCTCAGCTCCCGCCGCTGCGGCTGCTTGGGGAGTGAATCAGTGGACAGAAGATCTTCCTCTCTGTCTCTTGTTCTCCTCTCTATATATCTAACTTTGCAATGAAAATAAATAAATCTTAAAAAAAGAGAAAAGCCCATTGGGCCCAAAGTGATCAACATTTTGGCTGTTGATCCCAGAGGCTCTGCACTTGTGCGCCGCCCCTGCTGGGGGAGCATGTCGCCCGGGTCTCGTGTGCTGCCCCTGCCGCCTTTCTCTCTTGCAGACCCTGACTTGGATGAGCAGACGCCCTTGGAAGAGTCCACTGTATGAGATGGTGCAGCCCAGTGGTGGCCCAGCCGGGGAGCAGGACGTGCTGCCTGAAGAGTCTTCTCTGGGGAAACCGGCCATGCTGCACCTGCCTGCGGAACAGAGCACTCCTGATACTCTCCAGCGCTGTCTGGAGGAGAATCAAGAACTCCGAGGTGAGGGGCACCACGTGTGGCTGGGGGTAAAGTCAGGTCCATTCCTGCTACAGGCAGGGTGTTACCTCACACGCTCCCGTGATGAGGGGGACTGACTGAGGTGCCCATTAGCATATGGGAAGTTGCTGTAGAGTGTCTTCAGCACAAATACGGGGGGGCAGAGAAGGGAACTAGAAAAGTAGGATAAGACAGGGGTGGGCAGAGGGAGAATGGGGTTGCAGGGGAGACTCAGGGACAACCCTAGCTGACCCCACAGGAAAGTTTGAGGCTGGAGGGACACTGCCAGGTTGGAACAACATGGCCAGGCCTCAGACAGAGTCTTCCCTGGGAAGAGACTCAGACTTTCCCGGGAAGCATTGCTGTGCTGTTTGGGAGTGTGTTTTGACCTGGGAAGTGGCTGTGGCTCACCTCAGAGGATATGGGATTGGCTGGCACGAGAGATGTCTGCTCCTGCTGGTCGTGGCAGGGGGACACAGCTGGGTCTCCTTGGCCATTCAGCCCCGGCCTCGGTTGTGGCCCTACTTCCCATCTCCCTAGGGGCCCAGAGCCCTGGAGGCCAGCCGTTTCAGGCCTGTGTCCTGGCCTGTGGTACCTCTGGCTGCCTCTTGACTGAGTGTTCAGCACAGGAGCTCCTGATCTTGTGTGTGCCTTGGGCGGTAAGAACCCAAGAAGGAGGAGGCAACGTTTCCCTTGTAATGTTTGTGAAGAAACTTCCTGGAAGAGTTTGTGATTCTGCCCATGTGACACGTCCTAAAGCGCTCGACAGGGCGGGGGCGGGGACCAGTGGCGTTCTGGCTTCTTGGGCCACTGGGATGCTCTGCAGGTAGTTAGTGCTTGCTAATGGCTGCATACCTTTTTAAAGCAGTTGTCATTTTTAAAGAGATTCATATTGTATTATTTGGAAGGCAGAGATACAGAGAGAGGAGAGAAGAGATTTTTCATCTGCTGGCCCACTCCTCAAATCGTTGCAATGGCTGGAACTGAGGTGATCCAGTGTCTCCTCCGTGTCTCCCACACAGGTGCAGGGTCCCAAGGCTTTGGGCCGTCCTCCACTGCTTTCCCAGGCCACAGGCAGGGAGCTGGATGGGAAGTGGAGCTGCTGGGATTAGAACCAGCACCCATATGGGATGCTGATGCTGCAGCCAGAGGTTTACTTGGCCTGCTGTGCCATGGTGCCAACCCCATGTGTTTGCTTCTTCATCTTCCAAGACGAGGGAGGGTTCTTGACCTGTCGAATGTGCAGATGCAGGCACTGAAGCTCAGAGTGCTTGCTCAGCTGTCCCTCCCAGGCTGCAGGTCTGAGGGCCGTCCTGTGTATGCAGAAGGTGCAGGCCTGAGAGGACCAAGCTGAGTACCTTAGGGAGGACTTGCTTTGGACTGGTTCGAGCACGTGTGACTTCCAGAGCAGCATTTGCGTGAGGCTGGTGTGTTTAGAGCTTTGTCATTGGTATAACTGACTTCGGAGGTGTTTTTAGAAATGTGTCAAAAGGAGTACTTGGACACCAGCTGTTCTTTGCAAAGCCACCTGGGATTATGGGCAGGAGGCTGAGATGGAAGGCTGCGCTTCAGGCCTGTCAGCCAGCTGCCAGTGCTCAACTCCCCCTCCCTGCTGTCTCTTGTGCCCCCAGAGGCTATTCGGCAGAGCAACCAGATGCTGCGGGAACGCTGTGAGGAGCTGCTCCGCTTCCAAGTCAGCCAGAGGGAGGAGAAGGACTTCCTCCTGGGCAAGTTCCAGGAGGCCAGGAGGCTGGTGGAGAGGCTCAACCTGGAGAAGCTCGACCTTAAGAGGCAGAGGGAGCAGGCCCTGCAGGAGGTGGAGCACCTCAAGAGATGTCAGCAGGTAGTGGGGGGCTATCCCTGTGACCTGGGGGCTCGAGCCCCACCCATGATGCCTGTGTTCTCAAAGTCCGTAGGGCACGGTGTGTAGGTCCGAGGCTCTCTGGAGAGTCCTCTGGCTCGGGACTTGCTGGGAGGATTCTTCGCACTTAAAGAAGCTGCCATGTTCACTCCACTGCCCTGGGCGTTCCTGGCCACTTCGGCAGTTTCAGGATGATGTCATGTAGGGAAAGGGCAGGTCAGAGAGAGCAGAGTCCATTGGGCAGAGTTTGGGAAAGAGCAGGCTCCTGCCATCTTCCTCCCATACTCAGCACCTGATTCTCCTTGTGGTGACATGGGCCAACAGGCATGGGGCACTGCCTGGCCCACTCCTCAAATGGGAAGGAAAGCTCAGGAAGCTCGCCAAGCTTGGCTGTTGCTTATGCAGGCAGGCAGGCAGGCAGCACTGAGGATGAACCTTGGCCACTCCAAGGTCTGGCTGCCACCGTGTGTGCCAAGGCCACCCACCAACCGTGGTGTTGCTAGTGTAGGTCTTCTAAGTCCAGGCAGCCTTCTCAGGCAGGATTTTCCCGGGGCTTGTGGGTTATACACGTGCTGCTGGGCTAAGCCAGACTGACGTCTGGGAGTGGCCCTAGGCTTGTGAGTGGGCCTGCACTGCACAAAACCCCCACGTGCTTTGTGTGTTCCTAAGAGTATCTTAGGCCCTTTGTGTCAGAAGCCAACTGGTCTTTGAATGCCAGTGCTGGCTGGGAGAGGCAAGGCAGGGAGAAGTGACACAGAGGGCACTGGCTGCCATGGATCCCACACCTTGAGGTAAGGCATGTGGGGCCAGCGTGACTCGCTGGGGGAGTTCGGTGGGAATTCAGGAGTAAGTAGGCGTTTCCTGTGACTGCCTGAACAGAGTACTATAGGCCAGGGTGGCAACACTCCACATTGCTTGTCTGCCAGTCCCGGGGGCTGGGAGCCTGAGACCCAGGGGGCCAGGCTCCTTCTGGGACTGCCAGGAGAACCTGTGTCTTCACTCCACAGCCCTGGGTGCTCCTGGCCAGTTTGGCAGTTTCAGTATTTATTTACAAGAGAGAAGGCACCACAGGGAGGAAGGTTGGCTGGCTGACTTAACTCCTCCAGTGTGTCCAACCAGGGCTCTTGGCTGAAGCCAGAAGGCAGGGCCTCAGTGTGTGTGCTCATTGGGAGGCGGGGCCCCAGTGTGTGTGCTCACTGGGAGGCGGGGTCCCAGTGTGTGTGCTCATTGGGAGGCGGGGTCCCAGTGTGTGTGCTCATTGGGAGGCGGGGCCCCAGTGTGTGTGCTCACTGGGAGGCGGGGTCCCAGTGTGTGTGCTCATTGGGAGGCGGGGTCCCAGTGTGTGTGCTCGTTGGGAGGCGGGGCCCCAGTGTGTGTGCTCATTGGGAGGCGGGGTCCCAGTGTGTGTGCTCACTGGGAGGCAGGACCTCAGTGTGTGTGCTCATTGGGAGGCGGGGTCCCAGTGTGTGTGCTTGTTGGGAGGCAGGACCTCAGTGTGTGTGCTCATTGGGAGGCGGGGCCCCAGTGTGTGTGCTCATTGGGAGGCGGGGTCCCAGTGTGTGTGCTCGTTGGGAGGCGGGGCCCCAGTGTGTGTGCTCACTGGGAGGCAGGACCTCAGTGTGTGTGCTCATTGGGAGGCGGGGTCCCAGTGTGTGTGCTCATTGGGAGGCGGGGTCCCAGTGTGTGTGCTCGTTGGGAGGCGGGGCCCCAGTGTGTGTGCTCATTGGGAGGCAGGGCCCCAGTGCCTTGCAGGGTATGCATTGCAGGAAGCTGTCATGCGGGACATGGGCATTCCCACTCCACCCAGCTCTAGTTCTCTGATGCCCTGGGCCAGCAGAGCAGGGCACATATTTTTCGTTGCTGTCTCCTTTTACAAGCGTTAGGGCCTGCTCATGGGTTGGTGGTCGGCCTGTTAGCACCCTCCAGTAACCGGGGGCCTCTGCACTCTTGCAGTTTTGGGAGTTACCTCATTTGCTGGGTGGTGTGCAGTCTCGGGACTGCAGCCATGTTGGCACCAGGAGGCTTCTGGAGCCGAGGCGTGAGATGAGTAGTGAAACGAGCCCCATTAACAGTGTGATTAGGGCTGAGGGGGTCTTAGGGACTGGACTTGTGGTGCTGAGGCTGCCTCCTTGTGGGCTGGCCTGGGCCTTCACTGAGAGGAATTGCCTTTTTCTTCTGCAGCAGATGGCCGAGGATAAGGCCTCTGTGAAGGCTCAGGTGACATCCTTGCTAGGGGAGCTGCAGGAGAGCCAGACTCGCTTGGAGGCTGCCACCAAGGAGCGGCAGGCTCTGGAGGGCAGGTGAGTTGGGAGAGCTGCTTCACTCGGAAGGCGCCTCTTTTGGGTTCCTCTGGGAGTGGGTAAGCCTAGAGGTCACTGTGTGACAGACCCTGAGGCCTCTGGGTCCCAGCTAGTGATGCCGGGCTCTGACCCTGGGCCAGGGTTTCCTTACACGTGCCTAGGGACCCTGAGCAGCAGCACGATGGTTACTTGGTTCTCTGGCAGAGCTCCCAGGACAGAGCACGGGGCTCCTCCCAGTTAGAAGCCCTCCTCAGGCTCCTCCCCAAAAGACTGTGTCTGTTCAGGGACACCCACCAGAGACAGCCCCTTCGGCTATGACTGGGGACTTGTCACAGGGTCACCCTCTGTCAAGTGCCTGGCAGAGTTCCAGCTGGGGCCAGGCATGAGCGCCTAGGTTGGCCTGCCGCTCCCTTTCCCGTGCCCTGGTCCGTAGTTGCTTTTGTCTTTGCCGCGGGCCTCGTGGTCTTCAGCATGGGGGCTTCACAGACAGCCCTGTCCAGGGAGCCCAGATGGGGGGCAGCAGCCCGTGCCGCAGGGGGAGGGAGCAGCGACAGGTGGGGAATGTCTGCTTGAGCATGGGGCCACTCAGACGAGGGCTGCTTTGGGGGCTGGGGCTGCGGTACTATTTCTCCTGCCAAGGGCCATTTGGACCTTGGGAAAGGCATTTGAGGGCCGTGGAAAGTGACCTAACAAATGAGCCTGCTGTGCCACATGCATCGTCTTGAGCCCAACCTGTAGCTGCCTTGGCAGGGACACACCAAATGATTTGCTTGCCTGTTAGGCCCCTGTCATTGGCAGGTTTGGTTGTGGGGTACCCCGAACCTAAACGCTTACCCGTGCCACTGGCTTGCAGCCCCTCTTGGTGCCCCTCCTCATGTCTGTAATTGTTCCCTTCCCTTTGGCAGGGCCCGTGCAGCCAGTGAGCAGGCCCGGCAGCTGGAGAGCGAGCGGGAGGCGCTGCAGCAGCAGCACAGTGTGCAGGTGGACCAGCTGCGCATGCAGAGCCAGAGTGTGGAGGCTGCGCTGCGCATGGAGCGCCAGGCTGCCTCCGAGGAGAAGTGAGTCAGCAGGAGGGGCGGCGTGGTCCGTGAGCACAGGGCCTGGGCTTTTGCCCTGCTTCCCGGGCACTCTTGGGCTGACTGTCCTTACGAGGTGCCCTCACTGTGTGTCTTAGCTTCCCACCCCTGAAGCTTTTCCTTGGTGTGCCTTGGAAGTGTCTAATCAGAACAATTCTTTGGCTTATCTGTATTTTTCATGTGGTTGGAATCTTTGTAAAATTGAAACAAATTGTTAACCTTAGTTGAGACAGAAGGAGTGAGTGAACTCATGAGAGCACTCTCACGTGCTGGCTCACTCCACAGATCTCCAGCGGACTCTGGTCTCCGTGTGGGCGGCAAAACCCAAGCTAACTGAGCCATCACTGCTGCTTCATAGGACCTGCTTTGGCAAGAAGCTGGCATTCAGAGCAGACCCAAAGATTGAACCCATGCGCTCTGATGTGAGATGTAGTCGTCTTAAGTGCCATGCTAAATGCCAACTCCTGAAGTTGGCATATTTGAAGAGTATAGAATGATTCCATTTTATTATTTAAAAATGTTAGCTTGGGGACCGTGTTTGTTGTGGTGTTGTATGTTAAGCCTCTGGCTGCCTGTGACACTGGCATCTCACAAGGGTGCTGGTTTGAGTCCTGGTCCACTTCTGATCCAGCTCCCTGCTGCTTCACATGGGAAATTGAAGAAGGATGGCCCAAGTCCTTGGGTTCCTGCATCAATAGTGGAGATCCGGAAGAGGCTCCTGGCTCCAGTCTGACCCATTGCATCCGTTGCGGTCTTTTGGGGAGTGAACTAGTGGCTGGAGGATTTCTCTCTCTGTCTTTGCTCATTTTCTCTGTAATTTTGTTTTTGAAATAAATAAAATGCATCTTTTAAAAAATAAAGTTAGCTTTAAGGAAAATGGCCCTAGCTATTTGGTAGCCACTTCAGTTGCATTAGACTTGTAGTCAGCAAAGGGCGGTCTCAAGCGAGGCCCCTCAGCAGCACCTCTGCCTGCTTAGCCTGAGTGCAGGGGTGCAGCCGGTTGGGGGCACACTGGGCTGATGGTTGCTTTCTCTCAGGCGGAAGCTGGCCCAGTTGCAGGTGGCCTATCACCAGCTCTTCCAGGACTATGACAACCACATCAAGAACAGCATGGTGAGCGGCGACCGCAAGCGGGTGAGTAGGGCTGCTCTTGTCTCCCTGCCCTGGCTAGCTCGACTTGCCCTTTTCCTTTAGCAGGGTTCCATTGTGCTCACAGGAGATGGGCCCCTTGGGCCTTACTGCCCAGAGGATGGGCTCCCTCACCGTGACCAGTCAGGGTATTGGGATGTGCTTGTCGACATGGCTGTTCCCTCCCCGTGGCCCTTCTCAGCCTGATTTGGGGCTCAGCTTCCTTGAGCTGAGGTCAGCCCCCATAAGCCCTGGATGTCCTTTTCTGGTTGTTCTCATCAGACCTAAGCTGGCTTAAGTTGACCTCATTGTAAGTGGTGTTTGCACTTGGAGGAGATTTACAAGGATTAAAGCTGAAAGCAGGTCATATAAGGAAGAGCTAGAAATAAAAATGGCTACTTAACCTTTAGAGGGAAGTCTTGGGGTGAGGTGTGTGTGATTCTGTGAGCATGTAGGCAGTGCTGTATCCTCGTGACATGAGCAGACTTGTACAAAGTACAGGACTGATAGATTGTGGCTCAACCATGCAGGAGTGGGCACACAGTGGGCTCTTCTGTGTGGGACCGGCTCATTGTGCAGGGCACAGGCGGGAGGCATTGGCTCCTGTCCTGTGGAGGCCTGTCCCACTGCGATTCTGTGCTGGGTCGTCCCCATGGTCCCTTTGGTGCTGCAGTCCTTTGCACACTCTAAGGAAACCCTAAGCACTTCTTCTGCCCACTGGGGCTGTGACAGCACTCAGCCTCTTTCTGGCCATGCTGAGCTCTTGTGGTTGGCGCCATCCCCGCGTGGGCCAGCCGGGGCCGCTGTGTGCTCCCGCTTCGCTTCACGGGAGCAGCGCTGGCCCACGAGGCTCGCTCAGTGCCCCTCGCCCATCTCTAGGGCATGCAGCTGGAGGATCTTAAGCAGCAGCTCCGGCAGGCCGAGGAGGCCCTGGTGGCCAAGCAGGAAGTGATTGACAAATTGAAGGAGGAGGCCGAGCAGCACAAGACGGTGATGGAGACTGTGCCGGTCCTGAAGGCCCAGGTGAGGAGTTCTAGCACCCTGGTGGCATGTCACCGTGGCCACTCATAGACTCTCCTGAGACCCTGCCTTTGCTCCTTGACCTCTTTCTGGGCCATGCTGCTGTAAAGCCTGGGAGGGCAAGAGCAGGCTCTGCTTCACTCCCTGGTAGCCCCTGCAGTGTGTCCATGGCGCAGCTGACTGGTGATGGGCATGTCCCTGTCTTGCGTTGGCCAGGCGGATATCTACAAGGCTGACTTCCAGGCTGAGAGGCAGGCCAGGGAGAAGCTGGCTGAAAAGAAGGAGCTGCTGCAAGAGCAGCTGGAACAGCTGCAGCGGGAGTACAGCAAGCTGAAGGCCAGCTGTCAGGAGTCCTCCAGGTAGGCCTCCGTGAGTGTGCACACAGTTGTGGCAAAATGTGTGGACCTGATGTCTCCTAGGCTTTCGAGTTAGCAGATGTTGTACCTCCCCTCCTCTGTGCACAGCCTGTTCTGCCCACAGCTTTGCTCGTTAAGCCAGGTACTCACTGGGTGACTTCTGTCTTTACAGGATTGAGGATATGAGGAAGCGGCATGTCGAGGTTGCCCAGTCCGTCTTACCACCCCCCTCAGGTGAGGGAGTATCATGGGCCCTGGGAGGAGGTGAGGGAAGCAGGATGTGTGTCCAGGAGCATCATGACTCGGCTTCCCTGTTCTGTACAGCCCTGCTGCAGGTGGGGGTGGTGGTAGGAGTTGACTGGGAGCCGTGTTAGCTCAAGCTAAGGGAAGAAAGTGCTGTGATGGCAGGTGCTGGTTCCACATAGGTCAAGTCTCCATGCCTGTCTGCCCTCCTCTTCCCTCTAATGTAAACTGGGCTGGGTACAAAGCCCACACCCAGCCACATCTATTGTTTGTAGCAGCCCACCACTCCTTCCATCTGACGCTGACCAACCAGAGAAGAAGCCCCCCAGAAGAGCCGCCCGACTTCTGTTGTCCTAAGTGCCAGTATCAGGCTCCTGACATGGACACCCTGCAGATCCACGTCATGGAGTGCATTGAGTAGGGCCAGCATGCTCAAGGCCCCTGCAGATGCCACGTGCAGGTCCACACCTTGTCCGGAGCTAAGAATGAGTGAGAAAGAGTGGCTGCTGCCTCACCCGTGAGCTAGCTGAGGGCTCCATGGGGCCCTCCGGTCTGCTGGGTCACCTCCCCAGTGGCGCATGGAGCCACGGTTCAGCCTGATGTTCTCTGCTCTTTTGCACCCATCCCCCTGCTTGAGCCACTTGCCCCTGGGGCTGATCTCCCACTCCTTCCTCCCTCTCCCGCCCGGTCCCTCACTCCTCACTCCCTACCCAAGTCAAGACTGGAGACCTTGAACCTTCAGGGAAATCTGCTTCCCTAGATACACGTGGGCATAGCTGTCCTCCTGCTGGCACTGACCCAGTCTTGCCTCTTGGGGTGTGAGGTGTCCACTGTATGACCAGGGCAAGTGTGTTCCACCAGCTGCTTGTGCTCTTTGTCCCGAGTGAATATGGTAGGTGATCTGATGCTGGAACCCTGCCCTCCCCGCGACTTGGTTTTCTGTTCCTGTGCTTTGCTCCCAGCCTTGCTAAGAAGGAGAGGGAGCAAGGACTTGCTACCCACTAGAGATGCACTTCCCTAGGAGGACTGACCTGAAGGGTCTTCTCTGGCAGTGGGCTATTTGTACCTTTTATCCGTGTTTCCCTTTGGCCATTAGCTTCTGCTCCTTGAGTTTTAGGGGCATGTTGGTCTTTAGCAGGATTAGCTCTTGTGTGTCTTTCCCCTGTTGGCTTTGCTGCTAGTGTTTTTTTTTTGTCTTTGAGGTTGTTAACCTTTGTGTTGGCGCATTGATGCATTCATGCACTGCTTTGAGTTTGCAGTTGCTGCCACGGCCTCAGGCTTGGACAGAACGCTGCTTCACACGCCTTCTCTTGGCTCTGTCTCATGCTGAAGCCTTTCCCAGTGCTTGCTATGAGTGTTGTTCAGTGCCAAGTTCTCCCTCTGCCTAATTCACAAAAATGCTAACTAGGACTGAGCTGAGGCTATGGTTTTTCTGCGCGCGCGCGTGTGTGTGTGTGTGTGTGTGTGTGTGTGTGTGTGCGCGAATGCATAGAATTCTATTGTCAAAAGAAAGCTCATGAATAAATTAATCAAACATGTCTTCTGGAATTTAGACTTCTGGAGGTAGAAGGAGTATATAGATTGTTAACCCACCAACCAGACTTGAAGTCAAACTGGAAGATTTTGTATATCAGTTCTGTTGGTGTCATTTGCTAGACATGCTTTATTTGATTATGTTTCCTATATAAACGTGGAATAGGATAGCCTGTTAAATACATGGACTGTTTTCTTTCTTTACAAAGGGTCTTACTGGCCAGCATGGGGGTTAAAGCATGGGTGTTAGTCGGCCGCATCTTCCACCTCCTGCGAGCTCCCGAGCTCGACTGGGACGGCGTCAGCCTGGCCTTCTGCGTAGGTTTGCTGCTGTCCAACGGTGAGATGCTGACCGCTGCAGTGAGGCTGAAAGGCCCGAGAGCTTTGCTTTCTCTTTTCTTAGCCTCAGCCCTGGGGAAACGGGCTCAGTGTACTCTGGGAAAATGTCAAAGGCGCAAACAGATTATCTGCTTGTGGGTGCTGCAATTCTGCTACAAGAGCACTTTTTTTTTTTTCTTCTTCTTCTTTTTTTTTTTTTTTTAAGACTTATTTATTTGAAAGGCATAGAGAGCGAAAGAGGCAGAGATGTCTTCCATGTACTGATTCACTTCCCAGATAGCCGCAACGGCCAGGGCTGGGCCAGATTGAAGCCAGGAGCCAGGTGCTTCTTCCAGGTCTCCCACATGAGTGACAGGGGCCCAAAGACTTGGGTCACTTTTCCCTGCTTTCGCAGCCCTTTAGCAGGGAGATGGATCAGAACTGGAACTGTTGAGACTCAAACTGGTCCCCACATGGGATGCTAGTATTGCGGGTGACAGTTTAACCCTCTGTGCCACAAGGCTGGTCCCTGAAAGCACTGTTAGGGGTGTGTATGTGTGTATGAGCTGCTTGTGGCTTGTTGACTTTGTTGATCCCTCATGCAGCTGTTTCTTCTGTTTTGATCTGTTTTTTTTTTTTCTTCTGGCACTGAGTGTGGGCCTCACTTACGTAATGAAGATTTTTACATCTGTCACATCTGTCAAGACCCTTTACCCAAATAAGGTCACATTCACAACTTCGGGGTTCAGATCTGCACATGCATTTTTGGGACCATTGCTCACCCAAGGGTAGGGTATTTCCCTGAAGGGGTGCCAGTGCCTGTGCCTTCAAGTCCTGCAGTTGTGCCAGAGAGACTGCCCCAAGGGTGATGGTGGCCAGAGCCCTGCAGAGTTGAGTTAGATCACGTGTTCCCTGGCTAGTGAACAGAAGTGTGGAAGAGCTGCTCTCTGCCGGGCATCCCCTTCTGAAAGGGGCTTAGAAACAAGGCAGGTGATACAGGAGTAGTAAGGGAGGCAGTTGTTCTGTCCAGGGACTTCTCCACGTGGGCTGTGTAGCACAGCCGTCCAGGAGCGTGAAAGAATCTTCCTGCTGGTACCTCCTATGCAGATCAGTGCAGTCAGACCTGACGGTGCCATCGGGTTCTGACAGCCCCAGGGCTGTTCGCAGAGGCCTGTTTTTCCTGTGACTGCAGGGTGGGCCGTGGATTAGATAGCAAGGGTTTAACTACTCCATTCACCCAGATGTGGGGCTTTTTGGTCTCTTTCTTTGTAGCCTTACGTAAGTTAGACTCATTTTTGGTTATTTTTATTAATGTAAGGAGAGATAGGGCTTCTGTAACAGCTGGTTGAGTCCTGCACGAGAGAGCCGAGCTGCTTACTGTAGCAGTTGTGGCCCCTAGGTCCAGATGTCCACCTGAGACCTGCACTGCTTCCTGTTGCCCCACTGGTCCGTGCCCAGCAGAAATCAGAAAGAGCAATAAGCAGGCTATGAAAGCCTTTCACCCACACTGATAAGAGCAGTATTAGAACCAGGGACAAAATGTGGGCAGGAGTACCCAGGGAAGCCGTGCATGTAGCACCTGCAGCATGCCGCAGGCGTGGCCATAGCCTGCACTCCTTCCTTGGGGCTCTTGGGCAAAATGGGACAAGCACTTATAACAAGCATTCTCAGCATTTGTAACCCTGAGATAGGAGCTTATGATGACTTTGGCATTGGAAATGCGACACTCTGTATTTGATGCACAGCCAGCATTTGTGGTATCTGGTTCTGGGGAAGATACACATGCACAACTCTGTTATGTTGGCGTAAAAAGGCCGGGAGACAAGATTACACAGAAGATGCGCCCCAGCTGCTAGTGCCAGCCTGCTAATGTTGGGTGTGGGTGGTGGAGTTGCTAGTGCTTAACATTTTCCTTCTGTATTTATGTATTTGCTTTTATACTTTGATACAAAGAAAAATAAATGTTTCTGCAAAGACAGCCTGGTGTGAATAGAGCCTCTGCAAAGCTCAGTGTTGGTGCAGGAAGGGCGCATGGGGCAGCTCACAGGTGCACTGGCTCTAGGCTGGGGCTTCAGTACTCCACATTCGTTCTCTTCCAGTCATGGGAGCCAGGAGCCTGAGATCCAGTTGTGGCAGGCTGCTTCTGGGACCGCCAGGAGAACCGGTATCTCTTCTCTGTAGCTCTGGGAGCTCCCCACAAGCTGGAGTCCTTGGCCCATGCTGCCTCCCTGTGGTCTGCATTGTCACGTGGGCTTGTGTGTTTCATACTCTGTGAGAATCCCAGGGTGTGAAAGAAACACAGAGCTGTGGAAGCAGCTTCCATCTGGTCACTGCTGCCTTCAGAGGACATACTGAGCTGTGGGCATTCCCAGCAGTAGAGGAATTTGCAGGGGAGAGTGGGGGATGGCTTCCCAGGAGGGAAAGGGGCTCAGGGCATCGTGTGTCAGTGCAAGCAGCCCATGTGCCCATGAGCTGCTGAGTGTGTTCCTCCCAGGATACCGCAGTGTGGGCATGTCCTTTCTGGAGACTGCTATTCAGCAGAGTGGCTCTCAGGTCCTCTGGACTGTGGGAGAGATGCAGACCTGTCATGGGGACTGAGCCCTTTGTGGTGACTGCTCCAGGAGTGGACTTGAGTCCAGGTCAGGGGTTGAGCAGGGTGAGCAGCTAGTTGTTTTGACAACCCCTAGCGTTTCTAGATAGGAGATGAAAAGGGTGCTGGGCTCTTCCGTGGATGTAGCCCTTGGCTCAGTTCTCTTGGACCACTGCTCTACGTGGCGTGTTCTGGCCCAGGTTTTTGGCTTCACTTGTGTCTGTTCCTTGACTTGTTCTGCCTGTGTCCTGGATGCTCCTTGGCCTGGGTCATCTTCCCAATATTGAAGCTGTGCTGCTGATTACAGATCGCTCTCTGTGGCCCTGTGACACTGTGCTTCGTAAATCAGTGGGCTGCTGATTTCTCCCTTCAGCTCTGACCTTTCCTTCCTAGTGCCTGTCTGGGAAATGGTCCAGTGTACGCAACTGCTTCAGTCAGCACCTTGAATTGCTGTTCTCTGATTCTCCATAGCCAGCCACGTTGTTGATCTTACCTCCAGAGAGGAGGAGAGACAGAGAGGAAGATCTTCCATCCGCTGGCTCACTCCCCAAGTGAGCGCAATGCCAGAGCTGAGCCAATCCAAAGCCAGGAGCCAAGAGCGAGCTTCTCCGGGTCTCCCACATGGGTGCAGGGTCCCAAGGCTTTGGGCTGTCCTCCACTGCTTTCCCAGGCCACAGGCAGGGAGCTGGAAGGGAAGTGGGGCGCTGGGATTAGAAACAGCGCCCATATGGGATCCCACCAGGTGCAAGGTGAGACTTTAGCCACTAGGCTACCACGCTGGGCACATAAAAATGTATTTTGAATCCATTTTGTAGTCACAAACTTAATGCACCATTAACCATATTATTCAACAAGTGAAAAACATAAAGATCATATTTTAACAGGAGTGTAAATAAGGGCTAAAAAACAGCAATCACAAGAATTACTTTTCATTTCTATACATTTGTTTTTTGGAATTTAAGTCTCACGTATCAGAGAAAGCATGCTATCTGTCTCTGGGACTGCTTTATTTCACTACACTTTATGGTTTTCAGTTACATGCAATTGTTGATAAGATTTCCTTAATTTAAAAAAAAGATTTATTGATTTTTATGGGAAATGCAGATACACAGAGAGGAGGAGATACAAAGAGGAAGAACTTCCGTCCGATGATTCACTCCCCAAGTGGCCGCAACGGCCAGAGCTGAGCCAATCTGAAGCCAGGAGCCAGGAACCTCCTCCAGGTCTCCCACGCGGGTGCAGGGTCCCAAGGCTTTGGGCCGTCCTCCACTGCTTTCCCGGGCCACAGGCAGGGAGCTGGATGGGGAGTGGGGCTGCTGGATTAGAACCAGTGCCCATATGGGATCCCGGTGCATTCAAGGCAAGGACTTTAACTGCAACAATATCACGCTGGGCCCAGATTTCATTAATTTTTATGGCTTAGTGGTATCCCATTTGTGTGTGTGTGTG